GTCCGTCCGTCCGTCCGTCCGTCCGTCTGTCTGTCTGTCTGAGCCAGCTTGTTGATTCATGGCCCCCAAAGACAGACAAACTTTGTGGGTAAGGTGTGGTTGCTTGATTGGCATACGGTGTCGAATGCCCTGTTGTGACAGATACGTATAAACCAAAATTTTGCAACAATATTGGCCAGTTTCATCCGAACACTGGCCAAACAGCTTATCGGCGACCCGCCAGAATATTGAGAATTAAGGTTCCTGAGTCGTTCGCTGCCGGTGCCCAGAGCTTCCGTTGATCATGTAGGTAGGGACATTTGGTGTCAGTGGCCTTTTATCGTCTGAACTATTGGAATCCAAACATGGTCAGACAATTCCCAGTTACGACCAACGGGTCCTCGCAGCACCTATATTATGCGTCCCGCCTGGGATGGCCCCCAATGATACGCTGAGCACAAGCGCCGACAAGAGACGATGAAGCTGCTTGTACTACTTACCATCCGCAGTATCGGCCAAATCTATTGCAGCTTCCATCGAATCCAGCAAGCCAGTGGTTTGGCGCCCCATTTTGCCTCACTTCTGTATCAGGAATCAGGTCCAGCTCATGCATATTGATGCGAAGACGACGCGTGACGTATGCAGTGTGCTTTCCAGCCAACCGCGTCTGCCGTTTTAGTTGGCAAGAGGTTTCTGGGTCTGTGGGCGATCGCGCTTTTGGCGACTTCCTTTATTCTTTGACGTGGCTAGTCCGCGGATACTTTGTTTGTCGAAGGCGTTTGGGGGATTACCAGACCGTGCTGGCTACCAGCGCCGGCGCCAGATCCACATTGTGACAGATCACGATCAGCGATATCCAGAAGGTCACGGCCCCCGTCGGAAGGCTTTTTGCGGTACCAGGAATACACAAATACCTAATGAAAAAGGCAGGTCTGCGTCCGTGCAGTGGGCACGCCCACACGATGGACAAGGAACTGCCCGATTCGCATGCGGGCTTTGCGAGTTGCCGGCCGTATGGTGTTCCTTTTTCGTATGCAAAAGAGGCCGCCTCGGGGCCACTTTGTGATCGAGGTGCCGGACGACCAGCATCATCCGTCATCCGTCATCCACCAGCAATGCGGTTAATCAATCGGTTGCGATTTCCGGCACATGAAGAGTGCCGCTCGGCGTCTAACAAGCGAAGCGGTCAAGGTTGTGACGGGACTAGCCCCCCCCCCATCCCCGGCCTCGAACCTCAAAAGCCATACAAACGGTACAAAATAGTGCCTCGCGTCTTATTCTTCAATGCCAACTTTGGCCTGACCGTTGGGTTTGTGGTGGTAGCGGGGTTCCTCTGAGACAGTCCATTTATTTGGCGGAGAATTTGAGACAATGGCCTTTGATGGCACGCGGTATGGTGGTGCAGCTGTGGGTGCGGATGGGCTTGTCTCACGCCGCGTGCCAGACTCCCTCGTTCCCCGATGGTCGATACCCTAGCGCTAGATCCGCGATTGGTTAGGCATTATAACTTGCAGGAGGGCAAACTGACCTAGGCTTGCCCACATCTCTTCTGCCATGTCGATACTTTGTCGGTTGGTCGGTTCTGGAATTACCCGTGATACCCATGTTCGACCCAGACGCCTTGCCGACACAACAAACCGCTCAGGACAGACGCAGTACTTTGGAACCTGACTTTGGCAGGGCCAGGCGACGCCGAGCTTTTCCAGGGGAGGGCTTGAGCCAGCCGGGCCCACTGGGGCTTTGAAAGAACCAACCACGTTTGCTCCATATGAGGGATCCAGAGCTGGTGCATGTCCGCCATGTCGTGCTGATTTCCAGATATGACTGACTCTCTCTCGCTCTCTCCGTATCACATACGCGGCAAGTGCTCCGCGCGAGACCCATCAACTCCCGGATAGCAAGGCCAGCCTGTTTGTCGACGACTGCAGCTCGGGGAACGGGGAGAATGCAAAATGACGACAGCGGGGGTCTGGCTTAACTCGGAACGTGTTGTGTTTACGTGAGAAAGATTGGCAAAGGACCGCTGGAGTTAGTGCTGATGCCGCTGTCGCCAAAAGCATCCCAGCACCAAGGTTCGGGCCCGTTGAGCATGTTCGCTGTACGGAGTAGCTTCGCAAGATCCTGATCGAGTACTTCAGAAAATGTCAGTAAGAACCGCGCGCTGTCAAGCTGGCAGGGAAACACGGCCTTTAGACCCTCTTGTCTGTCTCCAAGTTGCCCGCTTTCAACGTGGTGCTTGTATTAGCCCTATTGCGGACACCGGATGTTGGCGAAGCTCGTCCGGAATCTCATTCGGCATTGAGTGCGTCTTTCCCCCCCTTGTTTTTTCCATGTTTCTTTTTCTGGCTTTGTTTTTCTTTCGCTACCGGCTAGGTCGCGCGGGCAAGCTTGCGCCAGCTAGGCGTTGGCTCAAGGAGGACCTGAGTTGCGTGCCTGCATGGACCCAACGCACAGACGGTGAGGGTGTCGTTTTCTCTTGTCCGTTCCCACTGTCCCACAGAGGCGGGACGACAGCCTATTCGCCAGAACCTTGTGACGGGTATGGAGACGCAAGGAGGGGCCGGACAGATGAGCAGAGCGACGGTGGGGGTGGCGGGTGGTGTACGTAGTCTGGATCAAGATAATCTCAATTGATGGGCCTGATGGCTGCAAGGTACGCAAGATCTGAGCACTCTAATTGTAGCGACTGCGTAATTCATCCATACGACAACTCAGGCAATGCGCCCCTCACGTTGCGCAGTGAGACGGGTACGAAATCAGGCATACCGGGCATACCGGATCACGCCTGGGCGGGTACGAGACGCGCTCTCGACGCTCCCGTCATCGAAGGAGGAACGATGGATGGAAGGGGAGGCGCAGCGCGGTGCGATAAAGCAATAGCAAGAGCGGGATGCCAAGCGAAGCCGAGGCCGTCTGCAGGGGCAGCGGATAAGATGCGGGATAGTTGTCTGGTGGACATCCCTACAGGATGCCTTTGCAGACATGGATGGAAGAAAGGGTTTCGACTGGATGTTGCTTCTCTGGTCTCCCAGTTGCCGATGGTGTTGTGTTGTCTGACCCGGACGCTCGGTTCTGCAGATGGATCTTCCAGGCGCGTGAGAAAGGAAGAAAAAAAAGTGGTTCCTGGGTGCTTGTGACGTACCTGTATAATCAAGACCAGGACGCTCGCGACGCAATGCAAAGTAGTAGTGTATCGCACAGGTGACGGCTCATGGTGCCTATCTCCCTACGGGAGTGGACGTGTGGATGGGTAGAAAATCCAGGGTTCTGGGTATGTACGCGTGCACACCCCCAACCCTTGGAGTCCGGAGATGCTACCAAAAATAACAAACAAATAATGATCATAATTATATCCGTAATCATAATGATTATCATTATAATGACATTGTACGTACAGGCATGTGCGTTGTTAGGAGGATCATAGGGATTTGGAATTGGCGCCGACCGATTAGGGACGCCTTGCCATGGATTGTTGTTATTGCAGTTATAATGAGGCGGTCTGATTGAGCAATTGATTGACATTGCACTTGCTAGACAGAGTGCGGACGGATAAGGCGGAGCTTTAGGAGAACTGCCATAGGCGTGAGATGAGCTTCTCCAGATTGTCGGATGGCAACTCACGGTAAGCGTGTCAAGCGTCTTGGAAGGGCTTGGCTGTCTGATCTGGCGACAGGCAGGACCTGGAGCGGTTCGGTGCAAAGGGGACGGGGGACGTGGTCTGGATGAGGCAAGGCGTACGGGAGAAGGAAGATGGGCTGTTTGTTCTTTGTCTCGGAGAAATGCTGTAGCTTGTTGTTGACGCACACACACATTTCAATCAGATCTGCATTCGTAGATCTGGTTATGGCTCGGGGCAAGGCTCTTTCTGGTCTGGGTCTGGACGGGCAGGTGGTGCGTTCCTGGAAGGAGGAACGGACAAGACGGAGAATCGACGTGGAACCCGGGTTGGACGGGGGGAGAAGGTCAAGCTTGGCATAGGACGACAGAGGGGGAGAGTAGCTCGGCAGAGACACACTTGAACACTGCCCATACATACTATTACAAACAGCATAACACCAAATGAGTAGATACACCTATACAAATCAATTAAACTTGATACCAGGCTATTCTATTTACTATAGAGTACGTTTTCCCTTTATCCTAATTGCGTTTTGTATTCTAGTTAGTATCAAATCAACAAACTTGGTAATCAATCGCCTTGGTGTGGGAAAGTACTCAAGGTGTACCATCTTTTTTGTCAACCAGGTGGGAAGGCCTGCGTGCATTAGATGCAGATGCAGCTTATTGCACTGCACATCTTTGCCTGTCTCTACCTTGTCCACCTAGCCGGACCTTGCCCTGCCCTGCCCTGCCCCGCCTTGCCTTGCCTTGCCTTCCCTTGCCTTGTCCGGTGGACAGGAGTTCAAGCAACAACCGCCTGCCTACTACCTATTCGTACCTACCCAAGGTGTTAAGGTGGGAATGAGTGCTACCTGGTACTGTAAGTATTGCTAATGCCGCCATCTGCACCCTTCATGCCCGTGGAAACTGCAACCCGGGTCTGCCTGCCGTTCTACCTACTCTAGGCACCTATGTACACATGCCTACCAGTACACAGTAGGTAGGTAGGCAGTACGGTATTGACGGTCTTTCCGCCATTGAGGACCAGAGCCCCCACCCCGAGTTCGTCCTGGCGCACTATTATCCACTTCCGCACCTGCCGCTAGTCCAACTACAGTGTGTCCCTGTGCGCAAACGCCGCCTACCTACGTCTGTGCAGGTACTAATACTACACTAGGTACTCGCTCACTGTGGGGGCGTTGGACGGGCCAGGGTCCTGCCTATCCACAGCACCCACCGATACGGAGTAGGAAATGCAACGGGGACCGGAACCCATTCGTCTCCGCCCTTCTCCCATCTCCAACTACGGGTATGCGGTATCATCCTTTTTTCAACAAGTCATGCACATACATATGTGCACTACCGTACCTACCGACTTTACAAGTAGAGAGAAAGACGGCATGGGCATCGGTCAATCCACCTCAGTTACTGATGCTGAGCATCAAAGTGGAGAGCAATCCGTGAAATAACTGGGTCTTGGAATTCCAGGCCCCTTCCCTCTCCTCCTCCTCCTCCTCCTCCTCCTCCTCCTCCTCCTCCTCCTCCTCCTCCTCCTCCTCTTCTTCTTCTTCTTCTCTTTCTTCTTCTCCTTCTTCTTTGGGAGGCTCTGCAAGGTGCGGCCAGGTGTTTGCGCCCCTCTTTAGTGGCTTGGGGACCATGGTCCGACGCAGAGAGAAACACCCCAGAACAAATGCAACGACGACATCGCACACAGACCTATAACCACCTATACTGTACCAACCTCCGGACTGTATCCGTATGTAGCAATGCTCTTATTTTGACTTTTGGTCTCGACAGAGCTCCCCCGCCTCCAGAGCGAGTCCGCCGACCCTGTCTCTGTCTGTGCCATCCTTTTCCTTGTGCTATAATAGTGGCAGCTTCTATATAACCATATATCTAGATTTACCACGGTAGACCACCATTGCTGTTTTTGTCGCCACCTCCGATTGGAGGGTTGACGACGCGGAAGGGTGGGCGCGTGCTATGGTAGTCAATGCACTGTGGGCGGGCGATTCCAAGAAACGGGACACCGACGCACTAGATACGTACCTACCTACCTAGTTCGGTCTAGGTAAGGTCCTGGTCGGCAACAACGGTCAAGTCAAGGATGTTCTGCAGGAGACGCCGTTCTCTCCCGCCCCTCCAGTGCCAGCTAGTATCATACCTACCTACTTAGTACTTACGTGGTTGGTGCTACCTGTATAGGTATGTAGGTACCTTGCAGTAGTAAGCTTGGTCACAGTAAACAAAGTACCTCTGTACTTTGCTAGCCCTTTTGTCGCATTGTCTGCCACCTGTCAGAACCCACACCCAAGGTACCGGCCTAACTACACGTACCAAGCCCCAGATACCTTCTCACCTTCACAAAATTACCTACCCTACTTACTGTAAAGCCGAGATGGCTCACCATCCGTCTTTGCTTGTCCTGCCCTTTCTGTCTGTCGTCCGGCTGCTGATTCGAGTCCACACTCCGTCTGCTTCATTTACGTTTCTTGTGCCAGCAGCCCTACGCGGGGTATACCTGAGCCAGCAGCCCTACGCAGGGTGTACCTGAGCCAGCAGGCCTTGGGATCGCCCCGCCGGTGTGAATCACTGAGAGGCGGTACCCGCGAAAGAAAAAAGAAAAGAAGAGAGAGAGAGAGAGGGAGAAAAGAGAGTTGATGACATCCTCCCTTAAGCCCGATGGACGCCTCGAGGCGACCAACGGCTTGGAAATACGAAATACCTAGACTGCCTGTCTGGTTCGACCTCGAGCGAAGCACGACATAACACGCGTCTCACAGGCTAAAACCAATGGGATTCCGGCTGTCTGTAACCGACATGAGCACCTCGCTTTGCCAACCCGGTCCTCTTCGTCTTTGGAGCTGTTTCTGTTGGTCCGCCCCAACATGGAAGATGGCTTGCGGCATGGCTCTCGGCAGGATGCAACGCCGTCTTTTCCAGAACGTCAGCCCTCTTTTGCGCTTTGCCTCGTTGGCCCGCATCTCTTCGACGACCGCGCAGGCGTCAATAATAGCCGAATCCGACACTGTCGCTTACAAGTCATCGTCGATCGGCATGTCGCCAGTCGTCAGTGGCCTGTCCGCTGGACCGATGCTCAATTCGATGGCGGATACGGTTCCAGCGACCCCTCCTGGCAGACTACATCGTATCAACCCATGACGAACCGGAAGCACCTGGACAAGGAACGCTCTGAACGGATAAACCCATCAGGGGAATATGAGCCTCAGGAATGGGGCTCTTTTGAGAGATCGCGGGGTTCAGGCATTCAGAAAACCCTTCGCCGAAACGAGCAAGTCCAATATCATGCGCTATGCCTGCAGGTCGAGCAAAAAAATTGCAATAAAACCTCATACTATTTGACATTTCTCTGTGTGGAGAAGAATAAAATCCTGGGGAATAAATGCCTGCAACATCGTCTTCGCAAAGCATGGCAACTCGGCCGGCCATCACTTCTCACGACGCGCCTATAGCCCAGAAACGGAAAAGAGAGGGGGGATAAGGGCTCAGTAGGAACGTGATCCTGGTTCTCGTCCGACCCGAGGCACCAATCTGCTGCATCCTCGGTTAACTCAACTCCAGCACAGCTGGACAAAATAATCGCTGAGGATGCTACGTACAATCATGGTCCATCGGAGCCTGTCCATGTCTCTCTCTCCCCGGGAGCTGGGAATCGAATGTCCATGGTGTGTGTGTGTGTGTGTGTGTGTGTGTGTGTGTGTCGTGTTGGTCTTGACATGATTTCGGCTGGGGGGCGGCGTTGTTGTGGGCGCGTCCCTGCTTCCGTTGGAGGAAGCGTCCAGCTTTCTGTGCAAGACCCTGCACCGTGAGGTACTTCGGGGGAACTTGCATAGGCTAACGACGGATTCGTCAGTCGGTGTGACGGTTCAACTGCTAGCTGCGTGCAACCAATACTAAACAAATGGTATCCTAACCAAAACAAAGACCCTGCAAGGTCCCGCAAAACTCGCATGGAAGCCCTGAAGATGGACAGATGGCCCGTTTTCGCGACCTGTTGTTCCCCATGGGCGGGCAGGGCAGGCCGCTCTGATGGTCACCTCGTTCGTGTAGAGAGACGATTTTCGGCAAGACAACGCTCAGTCCGGTAACGGCCTGTCGGATCTCCAACTCCAGGGAACAAAACATGCCGCCAACATATGGGCCCAGTGCCACACTTGTTCTCACTCTTCAACCTGGGGGAGGTGGGAGGATACTGGGGGACGTCATTTTTGGGGGGGGGCAGAAAACTCGGAATCTTGATTATCGTTATTTTCCCCGTCCCGTCCACCCCCAGTTCCCCCAACACATTTTTGATCTCACGCCATATTGCTGACATTACACAGCCGTGACAAACCCGTTTCTCACCGCCGCATGGAGTACATCCATGGCCGTTGTTGTTGCATCTGGGTGCGGGCGTATGGCGAGCACAACAAAGACCTCGGACGGGATCGGGACAGCGATCGAAGGTTTCAATCGCAACAATGTCGTTGCATCCCGAGCAAGGAGGATCCCGTTGGCCTGAGCACTATCGGCACCGGCTCCTTTACGAACCGTACCGCCTACAGTCCCGCTTGTCCCTGCCCGACCACCTCCACCTCGTCGTCCCTCTTTGGAGGAGTCGACTCGACAGACCCGGTTTACACTGCGATTGAAGTAGGAGCCAGGTCGGTTACCAAACTAGATAGGGACCGTTGTTTCATCTGCTCTCCCTCGTTGAGCGCTGTGGGCCTTCGACGTTCCCTCTCCGGAAACAGGCAGACAATCGACGTGGTATCGTGGTTCGATCGTCAAACGATGTCCCCCTGTCGGCCTCCGCGTTGCTTGCCTTAGAGTTCTATCGGTGCTCCATGGAGACACAGCAGCAGCTATAACACCCTCTTCACTATTATAACGCCCTTCCTATTACCTTTGTGTATTCCGTCGCCCGCTTATTCGACACTCTTTCTGCCTCGCGCTGGGGTTTCATCACTCACCCACATGCTCAGTTTCCACCGACTTATCGAGTCGTTGAGTGCAGCTGATGGGTACGTCGTGGGCGCAGCGTGTGAACGATACAACAATGCATCGGAACACCACCCCACTCTGGTACATTATGAAAGAGAAGGAGACAGACAGGGAGAGAGGGAGAGAGAGAGCACGAGCCTGTTGCCATTCGATACGGGACGGGCATTATTCGGACCCTTGATGGTCGATCTTGGGGGACGACGGTTCATGGCTCTGGATACGTCGCCATCCCAGCGGTTTCCTTGGATGAACCAGGCACAACCCAGATACGCCACCCCGCCTCCCTCGACGCTCGGATGTGAGTGATCCGCGCAAACAAGTCGGAGTGCGGCTGAAAACGACGTCTTATTCAAGCTCGAGTTCGTCCATCCCCGCCAAGAATATAGCTACAACAAAATCAGTAGGTAGATGGATAAAGGTGGTGATAATAATCGTGTTTTGCTTTGGCACCATGTCAGGCCAGAAGCACAGGTGGCTCCAGAGCCAAAACACTGGTGGGAACCGGCTCCGGCCGTCGTCGTCTCTCCGGCTATCCAATACGTTGTCGTCTTCGCGATTGGGAAATCAGCGCGCTAGGGAAGGAGGCTGGTCGGCCCCGGCCGGGACCACCGCGGGCGCCATCAAACGGCCTTCTTCGTGACTTTTCCTTTAGCGTCAGTTACCTCCCGTAACAAATCCGACGTTGGGCCGCTAGCTGTGCGCACGGCGATCGCTGTCCGGACTCCGACGAGCTGCAGAAGCTACCACTGATGGCATCTGACAGCCTCCAACATCTCAGGCCACCAAGCTATCTAGAGCCGTTGCTCCGGACACGCCACGCCCACGACATACCGATTTTCTCCGTGACAGGTCGGACGGCCCGACCCCTGGCCGTGCGCATTCAGCCCATTGGTGCTAGCGAAGTACAGATGTCTCAACCCGTATGTATATTCGAACACGGCCGCGTAGACGGAATGGCGGCGTCCCTACGTAGCAGAATGTGGATGAAGGAAACACGCCGGGAAACTGGTCCAATCTCCGTGCTAAATTTCCCGCAGCTGCCGGCATTCGCTTGCTGAAATTGAGGGCAAGCCCATCAGCCCCATCGGAGAACACGATGTGAAGGGAAGAGCGACCCTCCAATGAGGACCCCATGTAAAGATCGACGTCTGGCCAAATTGGAGTGATCTTCAGGCCCCAGATTCGGAGGATATTTATTGGCTTGGTGCGGTAGAACTCGGGTAGCGCTTCTAGCGGCCAGCCACCGATGGAAAGGAATCCGTAACCGTAAATCATGTCTCTCTTGTCCCGCGGAAACGTTGGGGCGTGACGGTATCCTGATGGTGTATCCAACCGGCCGCCGGACGCGCCTTTGCCGCTTCGTGAGAGACGATTCTCGCCGAAGCTCCATACTGCGTTCGTTTCTTTTCGCGTTCCCGTCACCCCATTAGATCGGCACGAGTTGTGTGTCGTCGGCCTAGGGGGCTTAGGAAAAGGGAGCTTTCTCCCGGATGGGAAGCGAAACGAGGCGAGAGGAGCGCCACTTCCGAACGGAATTGTATCCGGTCAGGTCTTAGGGTTTCACTAGCCACCTAGCTCGGAGCCCTTGCACCTAACGGTCGTCCGCCTCGTCGGCCTGCCGATGAACGAGCTGCTGTCTCAGTCGACGAAGACCGCGGGTCGTGGAACGAATTCCTAATGGGCCGTTTGGGTTCACCTGGGTATCGGCCACCCCGCCCAGCAGGGCCGGTGATCTCGGACGCCAGGAATCTGAAGGCCCTTATTACGCGTCGTGTCGCGGCGCATAGATGCCGAACGAGGGAAAGGGCCCGTCTTTGTCTCTCCGAAAAATCCGCCCGTCGTAATACTGCATCGAGGTTTGCTGGGCTTCGTCGGGCAAGCCGTGGCTTCACGTACGGGGGGGAGGGGGTGCGATTGGAAAACATTCTCCTACAAGATATCCCTGGTCAAGGATATGAACGCGCGACCAGCTTACTGGTGTCATGGTCCACTGCTGAGTCCGGCACAGGCATCGTTTGCTCCGCATGGGGCCGTTTGGAAAAGCAGGAAAGGGAACGAGACGCTAAGAGATGTCGATCGACGTCAATCCGGTCGTCCTTAGCCTCGATCCTACCGCTCCATATGTACAGAGTCAGGCATCTCAGTCTTTGCCAGACTAAAGACGGTGGCCACGTTCAGCGTCGAAGCCGCGGGTGACGGGTCTCGTCCGACCGGAAAGTTTGGTGCTGGTTCTTCCAAGCGGGATCGGTCCGGGGAGGCGTGGCGGCCTTCGAAAACGGCATGAACTTAGGCAGCTAAATTAGGACATGGCTCGATTGTGAGACTCGGCTGTTGGTTGGCGTTCTAGTGCCATATTAGTGAACACACACCTGCTGGCCTGCGAACGTGGATTGGGAGGATTGTGAGGAAAGTATTGCTTGCTAACGGATACGCGACTCAACAATATCCCCAAAGTCCCCGGCAGCCAAGACCAAGACCAAAGATAAGGATCACGTTTCCCAGGACCAGGAAAACAAAATCTCTTCTGCGGATCAGATACGTCGCGCGGTAGAAGGGTCTACACGGACGCGGGGTTGTGGCGGGGAGACCCGAAAGCGAGAAGACGAGCAAATGTCAGGAAACGGAAAGAGGTCTGCGTACCCCATTTCCCGGATTTGACTATGTTGGTATTCTCAATTTGCCCGATAATCTTACTCTGTACACTGATGCTGGCTTTTTGTTTCGTACAGTCGACCCTTGATTCCATCCGATGCCAATAACGCCAGAAAAGAAAAGAAGAAAAAAAATCAAGAAGAAAGGGAAGGAGGGAGAAAGAAAGTCGCTATTTCATTTCCAGAACCAACTGCTCTTGTCATTTCCATCCCCGTTGGTATCTCGCTGCTGCTGATCCCTGCTCTTGCCATTGCCCGTCGAGAAAGTTGCCGTCCAAGCGTACTCGGAACGCCTCTCAGTTTGCCTGCCGACCTCCTCGCCCCTATCGTTGAACGTCGTGACTGTCTTGGTGACGTGAACGTTACCCTTCGCGTCCTCCCGTTCCTGGACCTTTTCCACGACTCTCCAGCCAGCCGGGAGGCCTCGTGGTGAGAGGTCTCGCGTGGTTGAGTTCAACTTGGGTGACTCGGATGTGGGTGTGGATGTTGACGTCTCGCGAGATGTGTTAAGACGGGCCTTGCCCATGACCGAGAAGTACGAATCCTCCTCCGTCTCGCGGTGGTCGTCTTGCTCTGGACGAGCTCGCACCTCCCGTGCCGCTTTCTCAAATACCGGTGCCATCTCGGGCTCCTTGGGCGATGGCTGATTCGGGGCGGGCAGCGATCTACCTTCATGGAAAGGGTCATCCTGCTCTTGCAACCACCGCCGCCACCGTTCACTCACGGCCCCGTCTAGTACCTCGGGCCTCGTGAGCCAGCCATCCCACAGGCCCTGACGAGTGAGTTGGTGAAGCCAGAGGATCGGTGGCAACCCCCGGGGGAAGGACTCGCGGCACTCCTTCCGGAAGCGGACCCGTTCGTTGATGTCCGGCAAGCCTTGGCCGCTGCTGACCATGAGCAGGTCCTCGAACGCATCCTCGAAACCAAACAGAGTCGGATCAACGCCCTCGGGGAGGTCCTTGGGGGTGGGCTGCGGCAGGTCATGGAGCCGCAACGGCGAGTATGGCGAGTCGATGAGAAACGAAATCCACATGACCTGGTACAGGGACTCTGTGAGCTTGTCAGCCTCGAAAAGCGCCTGCATTGGCGACATTGACGAGAAAAGGTCGAACACGCTCCGGTGGGGGTACTGCGAGAACGACTCGTGGGGCTGGACGGCATCTGTAGCGCCGCTGTCATCTGATGCTGTTGTGCTTCTGCGCCCATTCTTGTCTATCTGGGACGGTCGGGGAGGCTCGGGCCAGCTGCTGTTGAGGCGGGACACTGCGGTGGGAATGCCCAGGACTCTCTGGAAAGCCGAGGCGACATGATCGTCAACCTTTTGCTTGAACCGGACGAAGAAGTTGTCCGGGGAATCGTTGTCGGGCATGATGGACGAAATATCCGGTGAGGTGCCAAGCCGAGTGGTTGGTTTTAAGATGTGAGCTGTTTGTGATTCGCGAGTCCCTCAGTTGATGAGATACGCGAGTTTGGATGTTGTTGCAGGCAATTCGCGGATTGTCTCCGGATGCGTCAACGGAGACTCGAAGCCTACATGAACAGTGGGATAAATGCCTGAACGACGGGACGGGCGAAGATGAAGTCTCATGAGAATGACGACGTCGATCAGATCAGACCAGCTCACCAGTAGTGGCGATCGGGGAGATGGAGTGAGTTGGGTAGTTGTGTGAGAAGGAGAGAGAGAGAGATCGGAGCCTCTAGAACCTCCGACAATTCCCCAACGAGCTGGGATTGGGTAGAGGGAGTTTTGGTAACGGCGGCGGCGGTGACAACAGGTTCTGGAGACCAAAGTATCCCAGAATACTACCTACCGTGCTACCTACGTATCGTAAAGGTACATCCAGTGTGGCGTTCAAGCCACAGTCCGCACCCCGCTTTCAGCACGTGTTGGTCCACGTTCCAATCGTTCAATCGGGGTCTTGGGCGCCAGCCTCACACAGTTGGCTGTCCCGGTCGGGTCGCTCACTCACACAATCCATAATCCACTCACTGGATGGTGATGCGTTCCTGGAAGATCCGCCCGTAGCGACCGACCCTGGACTAAGTCTACGAATTGGGTTATGCAGTACTAATTACCTCCATTGGGGCCAGACACGGACGCTGCACCAGTGTTGCTGGCAGGTGAACGGAGAAAGACTAAGCCCTCAGAGACAGGTTAGCGGTCCTCGCAAACATGAGGCAGGCACATGCCAACCCAGTGCTCGGGACACAGCGCGCCACGGGAATGACAGCATCTTGCAGCAGAGTTCCAAGTCTGGAAAACCCCACACTGGTGCTGAGCCACAGTTTGGGAGCATCATCGGAGACCCACCTCTACGTCCGCTCAGGGACTTTCTTTGACCCCCCTTTCCTCTTTGACTGGGGGATTTTTACCTAGAATGTGGGAACGTGCCTCATGCCCAGACCCGCGCGTCAGCATTCGACCGATGCGAGTCGTGGAAGAGAGGAGAAACACCACCACCACCACAAGCAACAAGAAGAGCATGGAGTAGCGTCAGCCTGCCTAGTTCCATCGCAGCACTTGGTCAACGCCGCCAACCACCGGACCTAGCAACTGCACTAAAATCTTGATTGATCCAATCACTACTACCTACCTACTTATCTGCCTAGGTACCTACCACCCAACACTAAGCCTTCCCCCGAACCTCCGATTCCCATTTCTCAACCGCAGATCCTCATGGCTGGCTACGACGATTTGCATTCTGCATTGTAGTTCCGCCAATCCTTTCAGTCAGTATCCCGTTGCCTTCACGTTACCGCATCCTCGCGCCGTCCAGATGATACCGCATCCCACTCGAGTCCACCCATCCACTGCGCTTGGGTGCCCGGCGACCGAATTCGCGCCGTCGTCATCGCCAACCTCGCCCAACTAGCACCGTTTGCTTGTGCTGCTCCCGAAAAAAAGAAAAAGAAGAAAACAAAATTATCAAAAAAAAATAAACTCGTGACATACACGGCTCGCGGCTCGATATCTACACTCCCCGCCCTTCTCTTTTCCGGCGTCACAGCACTAGCGCCCGCCGGTCATGACAATAGCCCCCGTGCTCGTCGCCGCCGAGCCTGCGGCACGCCCGGACGACGATAAAGACCTGCAGAACTGGTCCTCGCTCATAGGCATCATCACCGCAATCGTTGGCAATGTCCTCATCGCCCTCGCCCTCAATGTCCAGCGTTACGCTCACCTTCGACTCCACCGAGAGCGCATCCGCGTCCGGCGGCGAGCGAGAGAGGCCCTGAAACATGCGCCGGGCGGAGTCCAGACAGGGCCGTACGGCACTGTTGGCGGTGGAGAAGCAGGAGACACGGATGAGAGCAGTGACGGCGTCAACCACCACGCGGGCGACGATGGCGACGACTCCACGCCTTTGACGAGATCCTTCCGCTCCGAGGAGTCCGCTGGTTCCGACTACTCCGGCGACGACGACAAAACCCCTTCCACGTACCTCAAGTCGCCCTACTGGTGGGCTGGCCAGATCCTCATCACCCTTGGCGAGCTGGGCAACTTTTTGGCCTATGGTTTCGCGCCCGCCTCCATCGTCTCCCCTTTGGGAGTTGTCGCGCTGATATCCAACTGTGTCATCGCGCCGATCTTATTCAAGGAGAAGTTCAGGCAGCGCGACTTCTGGGGTGTCATCATCGCTGTCGCCGGAGTTGTTGTTGTCGTTCTGAGCGCCAAGCAGGAGGAGACGAAACTCGACCCCGGCGCTGTGTGGGACGCGATCACGACATTGGCCTTCGAAATATACCTTGCGGTGACGATATCCTTGATTGTTGTCCTCATGTGGGCGAGCCCAAGATACGGCCATCGGACTATTTTGATTGACCTTGGTCTCGTGGGACTCTTTGGTATGTACCGTACTCGACGACGATGAGAGCCGCCGGCTGACGTTTTCTCTAGGTGGCTTCACAGCTCTGTCCACCAAGGGCGTGTCCTCAATTCTGTCGACCACCCTCCTGGGCGCATTCAAAACCCCGGTTGCATGGGCGCTACTCTTCATACTTCTCTTCACTGCGGTCATGCAGGTGCGCTACGTCAACAAGGCGCTGCAGAGGTTCAGCTCGACGCAGGTCATTCCCATTCAGTTTGTTCTGTTCACGCTCTGCGTCATCGTTGGCAGTGCCGTTCTGTATCGTGACTTCGAGAGGACAACCGCCGAACAGGCAGGCAAGTTTGTCGGGGGTTGCCTGCTCACTTTTTTTGGTGTCTTCCTCATCACCAACGGTCGTGTCGAGGAAGATGTCGAGGATGGCATGTCCGACACTGATGGCGTCGAGGAGACGATCGGCTTGGCCGAGCAAGACGGTTACAGCCCCACGCAGCCACTGGCGCCTTCATCCATCTCAGTCCCATCCTCGAGATCTCGCCGCTCCTCTCGGGCTTCCAACGCAGGGCATCTAAACAATGGGTCGAAACAGTTCAGTATGCAGCACGACTCGGGATTCCCCACACTTCGCGTTCCCGCAGCTGCGTCGACGGGCAACCTTCCTAGCTCGGAGGTGGAACCACTGCTGGCCAACCCTTGGAGCAACTCCGCAGATGATATTACCCCCCCGCCTGGGACGAGGACGATATCCGACGACTCTATTCACACGTTCCCTGGCTTCGGCTCCCCGCCGTCGGAGCCAGCAACGCCATACTACGACGGCCAACTGCAGCCCAAGTATCCCATAGATACCAGACCCGTCACACCGCGCACATCGTTGCCAAACAGACCTCACAGCCACCAATATCCAGGCCCTATCTTCTCCCCATCCCCACTCTCATCTACTGTGAGCGCCGTGGTCAAGGACACACTTCTTAGGAGCGCAGAAAATCCGCTACTGCGTAGGCCTTCGGTGCGGAGGTTGCGCTCGAGCATCAGGGCCAGTCTCTTCATGCCCGAGAACAACGAGGGCCCGGACGGCGATGCCGAGAGACAGGACCTCATGGGTGGAGGGGTTGACTACGGAGACGGAGGCGTTGCTGAGCGTAGTCGGACAGCGGGCGAGGGCGCTTCCAGAGGGCCCCTGACGGGAAGACCCCGAAGCCTGAGCGACACACTAGGAGGGTTATTCGGGTCGAAGAGAAACAGGAGGGATGCCAACACCGACCCCGGAGCGAACTTATAAAAGAAGAGGCGGATACATGTTTACCTATTTATTTATTTCTTTGCACAACCAAGGGACTTTCTGGTTGAGGGACTTCGGGGGCATCGTTATCTTTCCTCAGCGTTGCATATTGGATCGGCGTTTCTGGTAGAAGGAGACTTTGAAATTGGGTGCTGTTGGAATTTCATCCGCAATACAAATACAGGTGTCCATCCTCTGGAGGGCGCGCCCGAGATATGGTACTGGAACACTTTTTCTGATTACTTTCTCCTCGTGTACAACTACTGTTGGTCGACTGCCCCTCATAATGCCTGATTGGGCTGTGACATTGAATGCAACAAGGATTTGCGTCAACGTGATCTCACGACGGGTCTTGGGAATCCCCAGGTGCACTCGCTGACGACCACTCTTGGCTAATCGAAAAAGATACTTCCAAGGGAGCACGGGAAAAGGAGAATGGGTGTTGACAGAACATGTTATGAATATCGAATGAAACTTGAATGCTTTTGAATAACCTCGATGATGCAGAGAGCCCATAATTACATCCCTCACACACACCATGTTTCCTGCCGCCTGGCCTAACCCCGGGAAGAGGCCTTCTTCTTTCTCATCAGACGCTTCCTTGCTATCAGCAACGGCTTGACGTCTTCGCGATCGACCTTGCCCTTGGGCTTCTTACTGTCGGCCTTGTCCGCTTTCTCGGACTTCAACTCCGGCTCCTCCTTGTTACCCTTGTTCAAGTTACCCTTCTTTCCCTTCTTCTTATCCTTCTTCCTGTCTTTCAAGGAGGCCATCTTGGGCAGCTCCTTACCATCGGCACCGCCCTTCTTGGCGTTCTGGCCGTCCTTGGCGTTCTGGGCATTCTGCCTGTTGTGGTCGAGGTTCTTCTCGTTGGCCTTGCGACGGGCCACGACCGAGGCGTTCTCGATAGCGAACTCGACGATGAGGCGCTGCTTCTTGCCAAGTTCATTCTCCAGCTGATAGCCGTTGAGGAAGCGCAGGCCCATGAGCGCCCACCGATGGGACGAGTACTCGATGAAACCGTATCCGCGAGACTTGCCGCCGCTCGCCTCGGGGACCTTGGTGCCCTCGCGACTCTCGAACTCGATCTTGGCCTGGCGGACGATACCCTTGCGCTTCAGCTTGCGCTCGCGCTCGGCGTCTTTGGCCTCCTTTGCGTCTCTGACCTTCTCCTCCTTGGAAAGGGGCTGACGCTTACCCTCCTTGACATCCTTGGCGAACTCCACGCAGGCCTTCCGGGCCAGCTCCTTGAGCTCCTTGGAGCCGATATTGCGCGGTATGTTACGGACGGCCAGACGGGTCAGACTGATGTGCAGCGTAGGGTTGCTCTGGACGAGCTTCTTGCGCTGCTTGGCACTATCTTCCCTCATCTTGATCTCGTTGGGGGTGAGCTTGTGATACAGAGCAGACCTGGTGTCGATCTGGCCTTCGTTGAGCAGGAAGAGACGTCGCTTGTCCTTCTCCCGTCTCTTGGCACTGCCATCGGCGGCCAGGCGTTCAGCGTCGTCCTTGCTGACGGCCTGGGCGACTTGCAGAAGTCTACCGTCCAGAGTGTATCGACCATCCTTGTCAGCGGTCTCGTCTTGAAGCACGGAGTGCTTGGTCAGAAGGGCGCTGGGCTGTGAGCGGGGCGCACCCTTGATACAGGCCTTCGCATCCTCCTCGTTAACGAAGCAGACGAATCCAGTGCCTGCGGGACGTTCAGTCGCCCGGTCCATGACAACACGGGCATACCTGACGGGACCGAACTTGACGAAATGCTCCTTCAGTTGATCATCTGTAACGGTAAAAGGAAGGTTTCTGATGAAGAGTGTCGATTTGTTATCGGTTGATGTTTGCGTCTTTGTGACGGGTTTTTTGTCGTCCCGAGCGTTGCTGGCGGCTCCCTCCTCATCGTCTTCGGACAGGTCCAGGTCCTCGTCCTCGTCCTCGTTCTCACTTTCGTCCTTGTCGCTATCCTCCTCGTCCTCGAGGTTCATCATGTGGTTCTTCATAAAGTTTTCCAAGTCGGCGTCAGCGCCCTCAGGTTCCTCGCCAGCCTTGTCGTTTTTGGCAGTCTCGACCTCTTCCTTTGCGGTAGCAGCCTTCTGCTTCTTGCTCTTCGGCTTCTCGTCATCCTCCGGGACTTCTTTGGTACCGTTCACCTGGTCCCATTCGCTCTTGTCCACAGCCCAATCAACCGCAACAGGTCTTCCGTCAATGACCTTTCCGTTCATCTCCAGGGCCTTCTCGGCATTCTTCCGTCCTCGCAGGGTCACAAACCCGAAACCCTTAAGCTTGCCCTTGTTTTGGGGCAGGTCGGCGAATTTGACGACTCCATAGGCTCTGAAAAGAGCACCCAGCTGCTCGGATGTCTTGATAGACCAGGGCAAGTTGCGAATAATCAACTTGGGGGGTTTCCTGGCCTCCTCAAGCTCCTGCGCGCGCTTCTGCTTCTGACCAGCAGCAGCCGCTCCGACGGCGCTTTCCTTGCCATCGCGGTGTCTGGCTTCGGCAACATCGACTCTGATGCGGCGACCCTCCCACATCATGTTGTTGAGCTTCTTCTTGGCTTCCATAGCATCTTCGGCATCCGTCAGGGTGACGAAGCCATAGCCGCGGGAAGCCTTGGTGGCCTTGTCGAGAACGACAGTCGCATGCTTGACTGGGAAATGCTCGGAGAAGAAGTCGGTCAAGGATTCGCTGGTGGCGGTCGCAGGAAGGGAGCGAACGAAGAGAGAGCGATTGGCCTCGGTGCGGGCTTTCTTTGCCTTTGGTTCCGCTGCAGAGTCTGCTGCAAGGTTCTCGGCGACGGCGGCTGCGACGAGGGCATCGTGCTCGTCCTCCTCGGCTCGTGACCGCTTGAGCGGCTTACCAGGAGATGACATGTCTGTTTGGTTTAGCTGTATTGTCTTACAGCAAGTTTTATTGAGAAATAATAGACAAAGATTACCTCGACTGCTAAAAGAGGTTGTGAAGAGGTTCACTCTTTCTGCATGGGAAAATGGCTGGTGGTGATCGTAGCTGCGAATTCCACGATAAGGATTTTTTTCCTGGGCTTATCAGCACGTGCACGGGACTTGGAGTTGCGAGTGGAGAAAGCCTAGAGGCGACCCCGCGCTATACCATTTCTGGAAGTCTATTGACTTGCCTGTTGCAGACTGGATGAAAACAAAAACGCGCCGGGGTTCACCCACTGTGATTGTGTGCGGTGTGTGCTGGCATTTTGCGAACAGGGGCGCTGGTCATCACCCGTCAATCAAACAAACAACATACTGTTCTGCTTAATTAACGAATACAGCTTTTCCCATCATATATCGTGCGGCTGCGTCCGATCCGCTGCATTTGACGACATCAACAGACAAACCCAGGATGCCCGCACGTGTATCTACCCGGTCCACGCGGACCTCAGCCGCCGTTTCGCACAAATCCTCAGCAGCGACAGTCGGCTCTCGAGCCTCAACAGCGTCCCGCTCCTCTTCGCTTGCCCTCGATGTCCCGACCGAAAGACCCGACAGCGAACTTCGCGGCCAGGTGTGTGCTGTCTTCCGAGATGCGCAGAAAAATACAGCGTCACACCGCAAGCTCGTCGTCACCTTGCGCAAGATCCAAGAGGCCTGCGCCTACGAGCCGACCAGCCTGAAGAAGTCGACAGCAAATGAGTTTGACGAGGAAGCTTTCAACTCCGAGTTCGTCCGGTGTGTCCTGAGAGTGATGCCAATCAAAAAGACAGAGACCGTTGGAGAGAAGACGATCCGGTTCATTGGTTCCTTCTTGCGACACGCAAACGACAAAGACAACGAGATTCTGGGAGAGATCGACGAGGACGCCAGCGTCATGCCCGAGACCCCTAGCACCAGACTTACCAGCTACCTCATGAGCACGGTTCTGCCCCTGATGGTAGCCAAGGACAAGTTTGTGCGGTACAGATCCACTCAATTGATTTCGCACATCATCAACTCGCTCGACGCCATCGACGATGATCTCTTCCAAAAACTTCGGCATAGCCTCCTTAAACGCATCCATGATAAGGAGGCCATGGTCCGCGCGCAGGCAGTTCTGGGCTTGGGGCGTCTGGCTGGCAATCAAGTCAACGCTGCAGACGAAGACGATGATGACGATGACGCCAGCGGGCTTCTCGAGAAGCTCCTAGAGGTTGTCCAAAATGATCCCAGCGCAGATGTGAGGCGGTCGCTTCTCGTTAACCTCCCGATCCTTCCCGCCACTCTCCCCTACCTATTGGAACGCGCCAGGGATCAAGATGCTTTGACTCGCAGGGCAGTCTACTCGCGGCTTCTGCCAGCTCTTGGTGATTTCCGACATCTCTCGCTTTCGATGAGAGAGAAACTCCTCAGGTGGGGTCTCCGCGATAGAGACGAGAATGTGCGCAAGTCCGCAGGCAGACTTTTCCGCGAACGGTGGATCGAAGACTGCGCTGGCGTTGCACCACCCGAAGAAGGGGCTCCGCCCGCCGAACCTTCACCTCCCAACTTCGATGGTCTCCTTGAGCTTCTGGAGCGAATCGATGTTGTGAACTCCGGTGTAGAGAACGGCGTCGCTCTTGAGGCAATGAAAGGCTTCTGGGAAGGAAGACCTGACTACCGGGAAGCTGTCACTTTCGATAACCAATTCTGGGAGACGCTCTCTGCCGAGTCTGTTTTCATGGCTCGCAGTTTCAACGACTTCTGCAGGAACGAGGGTAATGGCAAATTCGAGTCGCTGGTTGAGGAGAAGCTGCCAGAAGTGACTACCCTCGCATTCTACTTGGAGAGATATATTAGCGTCTTGATCGAGGCTATCAAGCGGGTTTCTGAGATTGAAGGCGAAGAGGACGAAGAAGAAGACACTGTGGAGCAGGAGTTCATCGTCGAGCAGCTACTTCATATTGCCATCACCCTCGATTACTCTGACGAGGTTGGTCGTCGCAAGATGTTCGCTCTCCTCCGCCAGTCGCTCTCAGTCCCAGAGCTTCCGGACGATGTAACGAAACTCACTATCAACGTCCTCAGGGACATCTGCGCGCCAGACAACGCCGGCGAGAAGGAGTTTTGTTCCGTGGTTCTCGAGGCCGTCGCTGATGTTCACGACACAATCGTCGATGACCCCGCACCGGACGACCGCACTGAAGACAGCTTCCACTCAGCGAGGTCTGAGGTCAGCGGCGACGTTACGCCCACGAGAGGCGGAAGTCGGCAGAAGAGCCCCGAGCTCAGCGAAGAAGAAGCTCGAGCAAAGGCTGTCAAGGAGATCATGATCAACATGAAGTGCTTGCATATCGTGCAGTGCATGTTGTCCAACGTCGCGGGCAATCTGCAGCAGAATGACCATTTGGTTTCGATGCTCAACAACCTTGTGGTCCCTGCCGTTCGCAGCCACGAGGCACCGGTGCGTGAGAGGGGCCTTGTGTGTCTGGGTCTTTGCTCCCTGCTCGACAGATCCCTGGCCGAGGAGAACTTGACACTCTTCATGCACTTCTTCACTAAGGGTCATACTGCCCTTCAGATCACAGCCTTGCAGATTCTTACCGACATCCTTAACGTCCATGGAGCGCAATTGCTTAGCTCAACGCCGGCGCTGCTCAAGATTTATATTAAAGCACTCAAATCGGGCACGAAGTCGCCCGAAGTCCAGGCTGCCGCCACATTGGCTGTTTCTAAGCTGCTACTGGGACGTGTCGTAACGGACCCTGAAGCTTCAGCTGAAATGCTCAAGACACTCGTCGTCCAATACTTCGACCCCGTTACAGCTACCAACCAAAGCGTTAGACAGGCTCTTAACTACTTCCTGCCCGTCTTCTGCTACTCGCGGGCTGAAAACCAAGATCTTATGCGTACCGTCGCACTGGATGCTCTGCATGCACTCCTAAACGTCCGCGAGAGCCTGGAGGACGACGACGCCGATGTCGATGAAGACATGGAGAGTTTGACGACCATCGGTGCTTGTCTAGTGGACTGGACTGATCCTCGCAAGTGTTTCAACCCTGCCACTGGTCTTGATCTGGAGAAGAAGACTGTCAATGGTGACATTCACTTGGACTTTGCTTTGGATATCCTAGACCGCCTGAACAGCAGTATAAGCAGTAAGTCAACAGTGCCGACAAGGTCCAAGTATCAATACTGACTACTCTTACAGAGGACGAGAAGAAGGTAGTGGCGTCGCTACTCGGAAAGTTGTATATTTCGCCCACTAGCACGGAGGAGAAGATTCGAGAAGTATACGACGAGGTCACAATCGCCGTCAACGACAGGCTGATCTCCGACACAACTGGTCGAAACGCCCTCAACAAGGTCCATGTCAGCTTGGGCAAGATTGTTGCCACCCTTGGGGAGCAGCAGGATGGCGAGCCGCGTCGCACAAGCAGAAGCGTGTCCGTCGCCGCTTCCGTGGCCGGGTCCGTTGCTGGCTCCGTTGCAGGGTCCGTCGCGCCGTCCGAGAAGAACGAGCCTGACATCAAAGAGGAAGATGAAGACAGCGATGGCACTGTCATCCAGACCACCATCAAGGACGACGGCAACTCTCTTGTAAGCGAGCTGTTATCGGATGAAGAGGGGGCGTGAGCAGCAATCATGTTGATGAACCGGGCGGCACTTTTGATGGATGGATAACTCTTCCTGGATCATGGGACAAGGGAGCTTTATGGATTGATGTTTTGACAAGGATTGATGATATACATGTAATGATTGCCCCTTGCGGAATCGACTGCGCGACTACTTCTTTTGCTACTTTCTCGGTTCTCCTGCTCTCTGACAAGATACGATCACGCAGATCCCAGTCGGTACAAGAGGCCAACGATGACGACGTTGATGAGTAGATGCTGCCCAATACTCCAGGCCATGCAGTAAAGGTACTTCGGTGAAAAGACTGTCCACACAAAGAGGTGTGTCCGCAATGCTTCGCAAGCTACCATGATGAAGGCGACGCTGCACGCCGTGAAGAGCGTCATGTGGCCGACGTGCTGCAAGAAGACGTTTCTCCCGTCGGCTGCGTCGCCGGCCCTGCGGCTGCGGTACTGAAGCAGTAGCAGATTCGTTGCGGACGCCCAGTAGATCGGTCCGGCCCAATTGCCGATAAAGGTCAAGACCCCGACGGCGATGACGCTGAAGCCCGCGACGCCGTTGTAGGCGCTCGATAGATCGACGGAGGAGATGGCATTGGTGCCGCCAAAGGCGAAGAAGGAGGCGTACTGCAGCAGCAAGGAGGTTGTGGAGAGTGCGGGCAGGCCGAGGTCGAGGGAAGCGAGGAAAGGAAGCTGAAATGTGAACAGCAGGAGGAGTGGTATGTTTGTCACGCGGGACTGGGTGGCGAGGAGGAGGGTGATGAGGTGGTGGAGTAAGGGGGATGTGTGTCTCGCCTCGACACGCGGATTAGAGAGCGTGAGGTAGGTTGAGTACGCCGCAGTAGCGGCAACGCCGGCAAAGACGGTCCTGGCCCGGGTTACAAGAGACAGGCCCTGGATGAGGGCGTTGAGGGTCGCCGGGACGCCGGTGACGAGCTCGGGAGCGTCTTCATTGGTGAAGGCGACCTTGAAGGTAAATGCAGAGAGGGCAAGGGTGGCGGACGTGGCGACTGCGAGGGCGCGAGGCAGGCCGCGGAGTTGTCTAAGGATTTGGACAAAGAGAAAGAGGTAAGTCAAGCTAACGACGGTCCAGAGGAAGTGAGGGTTCGCCGCGATGAAAGTCTTGACGATGTCGGGCTCGCCGGCGCGCTTCTGGCCCGTTTGATTCCATCCCCGGATCAGTCGGGTGGCTGTCAATGCGAGCAGGAGCGAGAGAAGGGTTTTTATAGGGGCGCGAGTGCTGGGGAAACGGTTAGACAGTAGAAGATAAAGGTGCAGGGTCGGGCGTGGAGTGCTCACGTCTGCATCTTCTTGATGGCTAGAATGCCCAGCCAGGCGGACGTGGTCCAGTACCAGAAGTGATGCTCTTCTTCCACATAGCTACTCGCGAACATCATGACGCCGTACGCGACTGCGATGGCGAGCAACGGGATGAGGCTGAGCCGGGCGCCGAAGACAAGAGAGCCGGTAGCGAGGATGGCCACGGCTTCGCCAATGTGCAATCTATCCATGTCGTAGTTGCTGGCCATGCCGCTCATGAGATCCTGCGCTTTACTGAGCCACTGCGGGATGTTAGTGGGGGGGTGCTCTTCGGTTTAAATAAAGGGGAAGTGGGATGAATGCAAACCTTGGACATGGCTTCGAGCCAGATCGGGTCTAGTTCTGCCTGACCATCCATGTTTTTGAGTGCGTCATTGACGCGATGCCATTCGCAAGCCAGCTCTTGAGCATCGTCTTGTGGGCCTGCGCAAGCCTCCCGGGCCGAGGTGGTTGCGGTGTCGAACATCTCTGGGCCGAACGTCGCTGTTACAACTTTCAATATCTGGCGAGCGTTGCGAATGAGCAACTGGACTTGGTCGTTCCCTGCAAGAGATCAGTGGCTACTCTCCTAGATACAAAGCGGTGTGAACCAACTGTCAGGCCAGAAGGGCAGGAAATCAGAGATGAACGCGCCCAGATTGTTCTTTGGCGCAGGGAAACCTAGCAGAGCACCTAGTGTAGGAACTAGATCCGACTGTTCAACCATGGTATAATAAGAGAAGTCCTCTTTGAACGCAGCAGGGGCCGACAGGTTGCGTTGCAGGGCCTTTATTTTCGGCGATATGAAGACAAGTGCCGGGGAGGTCTCCCCGGGAGACGAGGCTCCATGATTACCAGCGTCGTTCATACCGTGGTCTCCGCAGAGGACCAGCAAGGCCGAGGACATGTGACTTTGGGTGTCCATAGCGCTGTAGATGCGCTTGACGATGTCATCCATCTCATGCTGTTTAGGGACCATATGCGAGCTGGTGGTGTAAAATCAGCACAGGAGTCCGGAAGACTGCGTCGAATGATGGCCTCACCTTCGTGGTCCCGACTTGTGTCCGATGTGGTCGAGGCCAAGGTAGTGCAAAACCAACGTGCTCCAGTCGTCATTCTGTAGTTCGGTGTCGATGTGTCTGGTGACATTGTTATCTACCTCGGTGAAGTCCTTCAATGGATCAGCTGAAGAAGACTGAAGACCGATAGTGATTACTCACTGCTACAAAGAAACTCGAAGTGCCGTCAGAGCGGTCGAAGGTTCCGGGAAAGAGCTTGAGCCAGGTATCATCTCCATACATGGCTAGCTCTCCGGCCCCCTTGGCCTTCATCTGTGCCAACCAAGTGTCCTGAGCGGCCAAAGTGGAAGACGTGTCGGCTTCATCAAGATTCAAAATGACATCCAAGAAGGACGGGATCGAGCCTGTTGTGATGGCCTTGATCCTGGGCATAGTGACGGTCGGCGACCGAGCATATGCAGTGAAGGGCAGAGCGGCTCCATTGCGAATAAGTCTGCTAAACGATCAATAACGCAAATCCTGCCATGGATCGCGGGGGCTTACTCCTGAGTATATGTAAAACCTGTGCCGTCGGCGTACACAAAATCGCTGTGTGCAAGCAGTCAACATCTCTCTCAGGCGTTTGTTTTTTATAGATGCTATTTGTTTACCTTCGTAGGGCATCGACCACCATGAAAATGAGGCGGTCGAAAGGCGCGGCGGGCGGCGGGCCGTAATCTAAAGTTTCATACTTGGCCAGACCAGGGAGAACTGGCTTGTAAGGGAAGAAGCCGGTTGCGAAGGTGACAATCGCCAGCGGAATTAGGATATTTGCAACAGTGAGAAGGGTCGCCAGGAAGCCCGGACCATATCGAAAAGACATTTTCGTCGCGTATCCATCAAGGTTGTCGTTGAGCGCCGTTTCGTGAAAGGGAGCTTGGGTGTGGGCTTTGGGGTAAAGTCGTCCCCGGGTTTCAACGACTGGAAGAGGCCGATCTCGTTGATGTGGGAAGATGCCGCCGTATCATTCGGTCATGTTGCGATTATAAAGAGTGAGCACCGCAAGCAACGGCACGTTGAAGGGGGAATGAATGCAAGGCAGCGGCGCTGTTCCGTTAAGGTTGTCAAGGTAGTTTGAATCCAAAATAGGTAAAGCGAGTGCCCAGCAGAGAGGCTCACAGCTATGGAATAATTATGGACAAAGAGCATAGATTGAGAAGGACATTGTGACAGCTCTACAGGGATGAGACGCGCCCGGCTGGACGACATTGCACCCGCTGATTGGTCGGGGTGGGTAGAGCGAAGTCCGGGAGCCCGTTGCAGCACAGAAGGACTCGGCCGATACGGGCAATAATCTTCCGCCTCCAGGCCTGCCTAGACTCCATCTACAAGTCCAGTACGTGTATGATTCTCAAACGTCAATGACCGTTGTGATTAAAGAACAGGGAAAAGGTCGAGACCTGGCATTTTTTTTCTCGTGGATACATCATTTTAAGAGTCGTACTTATTACTCCATTGCTGCAAATGCGTTCTACTAACTTTTAACCGAGTCGAATGGGGGGGGAATGACCCCCCGAAATAACCACAAAAAACAAAATGAAAACTCAATCCCTTTGATCATCCACAGAAAACGCCGAGGGAGAGCATGCCCAAAGGTGAACCCCTCACAAACAGACTTCCCATGAGGGCGTTTCGCCTTCTTCCTAGCCGTTGGAAGTCGTCTCTTCAACCACAAAGTGTCCATCATGTCAAAAGCAAAATGAACAAACGGCGACGCACTTAAGCCTTCTTCTTCTTCTGGACACCGCCGTGGCGGTCCTTGTACTTAGGGAAAACAACCTTGGATGTCTTCTTCCTCTGCTTCTGGATTCTGCCGGTCCGACGCTTGGGCTTGGTCGAGTCGACATCCATGACTGTCATGAGTGTGAGTTATGTAAAGTGTAAAGGGTGGTGAGTCCTGATTCGACGTACCATTATCATCAGTCCTGATCTCGACATCATCGCCGTTAAGTTGCGCTGGATTCATGTCAGCTTCTCCTGATATCTTCGGAGACGCAAAATAGCCCAATTGGATATGATTATGAGTGAGTACTCACCGTCGATATGCTGCTGCTCATCATCCATGTCGATATCGGCCTCCTTCTCAGGCTTGGGTTGCCTGGCTAGTTCCTGCAGCTTCGCCGAAAGACGCTCGGCTCTTGCCTGCTCAACGGGACCAAAGACATTTGCCTTGAGTCTCTGGTTGTTCTTCTTGATGACACTGGATCTCGAACTCTTGGCCATCGTTGCGGAGGTTGCCTCAGCGGCTGGTATTTTAGAATATCCGGGACAAATTCACCGAACAAGTGTGTCACCGAGGTTTCTCTGGTCGAGAGATGCTTCCAGCTGCGAGTTGAGATTAATCTGTTGTCGTTGACAGGGTGAAAGTGACTGTGCGAGAGCGAGCGGTAGTTCTCTTCGGTGAGAGTGAACGTAGGAAATTTTCCGCAGGCGGTCGCCGAGTCGCCCCGCCTCCCGATCCAGACGCCCACTGACACGCAGCAAATCTTTGAAAGGGTCTCTCACACTGGGCCAGAAAACGGCCTGCCACTGTCCAATCCGCGTCGCGGGGCCTGCCGGCTATTACCACCCCACTCCATCCAAAGGCCCATTTCCAATTCACACAAGCGTTCTCCTGCCTGCAAAGGGTGAGCTGATGAGACAGATGGATGGTGGATGGTGGCCTTGCCGTTCGGAAGAGTACGCCATATTTGATTTAGAGGACGTAGATACTGAAACAGCAGTGGCCGCGTCCACTGTAGCCTCAATACTCAGGAGTTTAGGTGCTTATAATTGCTGTGTGGTCTCCTCCCATTTCGTCCCGCACCCACCTAGCCCTCTCTCGGTGCACTAAGATACACTTGCAATACTGTCGATAGATTGACTTTTACAGAAGCCTATCCCAGAAGCCTATCCCAAAAGCCGGCGCCAGTCGCGAACGACATCAAATCCTTACCGACCCAAAGAATAGCCCGCTGACTGGCTTAACCACGCCTCGTCTGCTCCGACTCGCATCGCCGTTGCGTCGTGTACTTCTTGCTATTCTGTCTCGCTTTTTTCGTTGAGAAATATAGTCCAGTTTGGCCAAGGTCAGGGTGTCACCACTACCCGTGCCGTCGTCACGGTTTCTTCGATAGTAGGCCCTGCACCAGAGAACACAGCCGAGAGGAGAAAGTCGCCGCAATCAACACCCACTATTACCACCACCGCCGCCGCTGACAGCCAGGAGAGCCGGTGCACAGCTACCCTGCCCTTGCTATCCTCGACCGACGGCAACTTCCCCACGCACTTTACTCCTGCTTGTCGGCGCGCACCACGAGCCTCGTCGCTCCTGCCTCGCGTGGTCGCGCCCATGGTTCTTCTTTCCATTTGAGCCCGTCCGCCTTCTTTCCTTCTCTGTCTTTCTTCTTTCTTGTCGCTGTTGCTACAGCTACTAGAACCACTGCCACCGAAAATCCAAAGCCATCGACATCTGCGCGCTCCCCACGACCAAAGTCGATCCGACGTCGCACCCGCAAACCTTCATGAGGCTTTCACCGACCGCACCACCGCGACTTGTCCACCTTGCCCGGGAAACATGACCTCCATCCCGAGGCAGGAGCTGCAAGCTCTGGTCAAACTGGTTAACAGTAACCAACTGCTCAACCGCCAGCTTTCCAGCATCTGCCAGCTGAACGGCCTCACTAGTAGTGGCGTGAAGGCATCGCTGCAGAGTCGCATCGTGAACGGTAAGTCGCCCCCTGCTCCTTGTGCTCCTTCCCTCTTCTTCGTTGTTTCTTGGTGGCTTCTGCCGCTCGCAGGCTTCGGTTTCTTTTCCCCGTCTACTTTGGCTGACTTCTGCCCGTCAGCTATCCAGGAGGCATACAATCTGAACGATGTGACTCGCTTCCAGCAAATCCAACGAAGCATAGAAACCGCAAGAACAGGTGCATCCTCTTCGCCCGCCTCTCATAAGCAGGGTCGCCCTTCCGCAGCGACTACGCCCGTACCTATGTTGCGGCAAGATCAATACTGGGGAAGCTCGCGCAGCGCTCGCCCTGGCGGTCTGAATCCACACGCTCTGCCCAGTTACGGATCGAGTGGTACGTTGGCCAGAAGCGACTCATCTGCAGACGTCTAATTGCTCGCAGGGCCATCATTTAGGAATAGCCCGTTTTACGAGATACAGTTCCGGGTTGGAGATGTCCGCACTTGCGAAGGTACGTCATGGACCTGCTATCCTTTGGTTGCAAGTCCCAGGAATTAACTATTAGTACCCAGCCATGACCCAGCACAGGAATATGGTGTCTGTCCCGGTCAAAGTCAGCGAGAATCCTGGAGTCAGCAGAGTTCTCGAAGACAAATCGCTGCGCATCATGGTGTTTTGCGCCGCGGACAATAGCGGAACCCAAGATATTTCCTTCCCCCACCAGTCGGAAATCAAGATCAACGGCAATGAGGTCAAGGCGAACCTGAGAGGCTTGAAGAACAAGCCGGGATCGACGAGGCCAGTCGATATCACAAGCTACCTGCGTCTGAAAAACGACAACCGGAATCTCGTTGAGTTCACTTACGCGCTGACTCAAAAGGTGGGTTTTCTCGACGGCACTGTGCTAGATATCGCTCTGTCCGCTGTCCCTTGCTGACGTTTCTTCGCTTTGCAGAAATTCTATCTCGTTCTTTACGCTTGTAAAATCACCTCAACTCAGGAATTGGCCGATAAGATCAAGGTCGGGAAGAAGATCCCAAAATACAAGGTCATTGAAGAGAGTAGGTTTGCCCGAGCGAAACCCCCGACCATTCTACCTTGCTAAGAAACAACAGTCAGCAAGAAGGCGGCGGATACGGATATCGTCACCACGTCACAAGTCTTGTCTCTCAAATGTCCTCTCTCCTATATGCGTCTCGATGTCCCCTGCCGTTCTGTCAACTGCTCACACATTCAATGCTTTGATGCAACATCATATCTCCAGCTGCAAGAACAAGGCCCCCAGTGGCTCTGTCCCATTTGCAACAAGTCCGCGCCATTTGAGCAGCTGGCTGTTGACGAGTAGGTTCTGTTCTTAGTCGACTATGAGTTTCTAGCTGACTTTTGTTCAAGGTATGTCAGGGACATCCTAGCAAACACGTCCAAGTCTCTCGATCAGGTCACGATCGAACCTGACGGTCAGTGGCGAGTGAACTCGGCACAAAACGATAGCAAGCCTACCAACGGTGGAAGCGGCCTCCTTGATGATGATGACGACGACGACGATTGGGGCATTGTTGAAGTCAACCCTATCCGCAGCCGCAATTTCGAAACACCCAACCGCTCAGTAGCCAGCACAGCCACTCCCACCACAACAGTCATGTCCCGGGAGAGCTCGGCCATGCCGCGAGGCGTGGCCACAACGAGCGGCAAACGACTTCATTCGGAGAGGGTAACGATAGATCTGACTCTTTCTGATGACGACGAGGAATCCACCGAACCGCCTCCGAAGAGACAGCAGTTGCAGCAGCCGGGTGTGAATAGTTACACCAACGGCTACAGCAGTGGTCTACCGTACTAGGAAGGATTCATTCTTCTTGGTTCCATCTACCGGATACGGTCTCTGGGGTCAGTCACCTCGACACGTCGTACATATGCCTAATTAAGGCGGATTTGGGCTCATGTATGCTTTTTTTTTTCCAATTGAGCGTGGGCAAGGATGGATAGATAGCTGTTCAGGCGTTTTAGGGGCAAAACATCTCCCAATATCCATGACGGCCGACTATCAAATGTCATGGAAGCAGGGCGACCGTCAGCTGGCGAGCAGAAGTCTGTCTGTTTAGATGGCGAGGGCTAAAGCATCGCCAGGCTCTAGGAGCAGAAGTCCCTCTACTAGCCATCATTGCGGATATGGACTTCGCACAATCAAATACAATTTCTGCGAAGCTTTTCTTGCCACCTCGCTTGTCATACTTTTAGCTCTTGTCAGTACCAAATGTCGACTACTGGCAGGCAATCCAGTAAACTCCAGGGCGGGAGTGGGAACGGGGAGCCGTGGTGTGGGGCCTAGAGCTCAACATCAGCTCCACACAATTGTCAACGCAGGTAGGTACGTACCTGACCTCATTCATTCGCTCAATCCGTTCGTCTGTGCTTCACCTACACCTTGCCTCGCACCCATACGTCTATCAGCCGACAAACGACGGACTACGGACTGCCATTGCGATTTTCCCAAGCAAACTTAACGTCTTATCAGGCCGTCGATACTACGAAAGGAACATCACCGGCGACAAGCCCATACCCCATTGCGAACTCCCACCGCAGCCGTACTCCATCGCAATCTGCCACCAAGCAATTCCCTAGGCATACAGACAGTCACCTTGCCTCAAGCTGCCAACGAGAAGGATATCGCTGTTTTCCAGACCACGCAAACAAAACAAAACAACCCGATAAATCCGAACACGTCCTCAAACATGTCATTCGAGAGCGTCATGCCCCCGTACAACGCCACGGACCCATCGGCCTCTTTCCTCAACTCTTCGTGCCTGGACTTCCTTCTCATCGAGCTTGTGCCCCTGGCCTTCCGCGTGACAAGGGAGCTCGACGACGACCTTCCTTCGGGCGACGCAGCAAACCGTACGGGCGCAGACGCGCCTTCGAGCGCCGGTGGCCGTGCATCGGCGGACGCATTGTCGTCTGTGAGCCATACTCATGGCGGAGGTGCAGCCGGCGGCCCTGCGCCGTCGTCCGCGGAGGGCGCCGCGGGGGGCAGCATGGCGCGGAAGATGGACGAGGACGAGGAGCGTGATGCAGTCTTCTACCGCCTTGAGACATTGGGATATCGCGTTGGACAGGGGCTTGTGGAGAGGTTTGTGTAGCCTCCAACGTTGCTCGTCGTCTCTCCTGTCTTCAGTCCTCTGCGACTAGAAGCCAAGGGCAAGATGAGGTATTATATGTTCATGGCAAGGCTTAGGGGCTGACTTGCTGTTGGGTGTTGCAGATTCTCAAGGGACCGGCCGCGGTTTAACGACACGCTCGACGTCATCAAGTTCGTCTGCAAGGACCTTTGGTCGCTGGTGTTTAGGAAACAGGTGGACAACCTCAAGACGAATCATAGAGTAGGTCGTCGCGGTATCTTGGAGCGTCCGGGCAGTAGAAACTCCAAATCTGAAAAAAGGGTGTGCTGACCAAATCCACTCTTATATCAGGGCGTTTATGTGTTGACGGACAACTCGTTCAAACCATTCTCACGAATGAGCACAGAAGCCGGCGGACAAGCTGTTGTTCGGGCACAACCGGTACGTTTCGGTCAAGTCCACGCGCGCACCCGCACGCAGCCGATGTGCCAAATTACTAACTGACCTTACCAACAGTTCCTCTGGTTTCCATGCGGGATCGTGCGTGGAGCCCTGGCGGCATTGGGGATTAACGCCACCGTCCAGGCCGAGACGAACGAGTTGCCGGCCGCCATCTTTCAGATCAAGACACTACCATCCAGTGCATAATACCCAGAAAAGCGAGTTTATCAGAGTTTCGGTTGCTGTGACTTTGGGCACAAGCAAGGGCAATCACAAAGTTGAACAGGGATGCTGTCGCAAGTCCCAATCAGGTGGTGCGATCAATTCGAGTTGATTTCGGAAAGTGTCAAACTCCACTTATAACCCAAGCTCCCTAGGGAGTAGATGGAAACTCCGCCCGCCATATCCCAAAATTACCGACGCCACTCTCGTGCGCACCGCGGAATCACGAGCAATTTGACGCTGTACGCTCGTCTACTACACATCGTACGAGACCAACAGCATCACCTCACAGCCTAGGAAAAAGAAGAATCGATCAGCCATAATTCTCCCTCGGTTAATTCATCTATTGCCAATTCTTTCTTGTTTGGCTACATTAGGAAGCTGTTGTCATGATGCTTTCCTCAAGAGGGTTCAGGGGGCTGTTACTGAAACAATTGTACAAAGGGGGTAATCACTTTTGAGGGGGGTTGTGAGCAAAGTCGACACCCTTCTTGATGTTGCCCTTCAGTCCCGCAACAGCGGCCTCCAACAGCTTCTTTTCCTTCTCCGTGATGTTGCCGAGGATGTCAACGGCCTTCTCGGCACCGTTGGGCTACGAAAACGTCAGCATGGATGTTTTTGAAGGTGGGATTGGGATGCAGTTGCGCAACTTACGCCAAGCTCGATGGGAACGGAGAAGAAGTCGACGCCTGTCTTCTCGGCGATCTCCTTGCCACCGGGCACGCCGGGCAGGTAGACGTAGCTAGGCTCAACAAGACCCTTCTCGCCCTTGACGGCCTTGAGAACCTTCTCGGCGAATCTACCACTGTCAGTTTTAATCTTGGCACTGGGCGGGTTCTGTTCCTACCTGAAACCGGCATAGGCCATGGAGAGGGTGGCGGAACCAGCACCGTCCTTGGCCTTGACAACCTCGTCACCACCGAACTGAACGCGGTTGACGAGAGCGTCGTACTTGTCGTCAGGGATGGAGACAGAGGGCTGGACCTGGCTGAACAGGGGGACGATGGTCTCGCCGGAGTGACCGCCGATGACTGGAACGTTCAGCTCATGGGGCTTGGACTTGCCCGCAATCTCGGCAACGAAGGTCTCGGCTCTGACGATGTCGAGGGTGGTGACACCAAAGAGGCGCTGGGGGTTGAAGACACCCTTGGCCTTGAGGACCTCGGCGGAAATGGGGACGGTTGAGTTAACGGGGTTGGAAATGACGAGGATAAACGCCTTGGGGGCGACCTCGGCGGCGACCTCGATCAGGCCCTTGACAATACCGGCGTTGATGTTGAAGAGGTCATCGCGAGTCATGCCGGGTTTGCCTGGAGGTGCCCTCTATTAGCACGAAATTGGCGCAGACAACAGGAGCAGGAGGAACTTACGGGGAATTCCGGCCGGGATTACAATGATGTCGGCATCCTTGAAGGCGGCCTTTGCGCCGTCATCCTTTGGCAGGTAGCCGGTGGTCTTCTGTTTGCGGGTATTTTTGTTTAGCATGCACCGAGATGGATGGCGCAATACAGTTGAGACTTGACTAGACGTACCGCGACGGATGAGATGTGAGAAAGGTCGGCGGCAACACCGGGGGTGTTCACAACATCGTAGAGAGCAAGCTCGTCGACAAGAGGAGAAAGCTTAAGGAGGAGGGACAGAGGCTAGAGACGAAGAGTTGTTCGTGAGCCTACGCGAACTAGGTTTGCCTGACAAGGCGGGGTCTGTCTGTTGTCACTGTACCTGTCCAATACCGCCAGAGGCGCCAGCAACAACTGAGAGAAGAAGTCAGAACGAAGCCTCTTGCGACGGTCCTGAGAGAGGGGGGGAGCATACCGGCCTTGACCATTTTGAAGGTTTTTTATGTATCTTGGGTTGGAGACGGGTAACAGAGGTGGTGGTCTAAAGGGATCTCGCAGATTAGCGGGGTGGTCATTAGAAAGCTCGCTGGGCGGGAGCTTGCTCGCTCGGCAAGTCAAGCTCTGGCTTGTGATGGTAGTGCCAGACAATGTTTGGAGCTTGCCTACTGGAAGCTCAGAAGAGTCTCGACACACGTACTTGAAATTTCCCTGTGGTTTTCCAAGGTAATATGGGTAAAATAGTATCGGTTGGGAGGTTGTTGGTCAGTATGAGAAGAAGAGAGAAGAAGAGAGGGAGTGAGGGCGAGGTAGAAGTAGTCTGCGCCAGCTGATACCTTGTCCGGAGGCTGTCGGCGGGGACGTAGGTTCGACCGCGGGGGGGGAACATTGCGACGGGACTGCTCACCCCTCGCCCCGTGGGATCGTCTGTGTCATTGGATGGAGGGGCAAGAAGAGGGGCAACAATGGAGGGGAAAGGGGGCCGATACCAGGGGGGGCGCCAGTGCATGCGCAGAATAGCAAGCGCAACTGTATTGCAGAAGGCATGCAGGCGCTGTACTGCGCTGCGCTGCCATGCGCCGCACCCAGCAAGATCATGCTGCTTGCTGCTTTCCATCTAATCGCCTGCTGTTTTGCCCCGGCCCAGTGCTGTTTTTTGTCTCGGGAGTCGGAAAACAAGAGGTTACCTACCTACAAAGAGGGAGGGATCTTTCTCCTACCCTAGCCGCACCGGGAATAGCTGTCGCAGATAGCTCCTTGTCGTCATTCAACACTCGGACAAAGAAAAGGCCTATGAGACATGCCCAGCCAAAGGAGACTAGGAACTTATCCCCAAGCAGCTTTTCCCATCTTTCCCACCTCCAACCCGGGTACCTAGGTAGACAGGCGCCTCTGACGAAGCTAAGTCGGAGTTGACCTTCATCAGGTCACCCCCGCCTCCCGCCCCCCAAAATCCCCCATTCCCCCTCATCCATTTCGCCATTTCCCAAGCCTGACACATGTGAGAAAGCCGGACACCAATTAGCCTAGTACGGCGGCACTGAATTGGAAGACAAAGCCGCCAGCGAGAAGCCTGTTCTCGTCCATCCATGTTGCTCCCGTCAACTCCCGGGGAATTGACCCACACGTTCCGATGTCTTCCTGCTTAGGACATCTCTGTCCCGAGCGCAGGGGGAGCTCTGTCCTATGTATAGCCAAAACCCGGGTGCGGTAGAAACAAAACGCATCCATACAAGAATATGCCAGCGTATCAAGGCCAGGGCCCCATTGTCCGGTGAACCTGTGACTTGCATCATTTCATCATCCTCGACGATGAGACAATAAGAGCGGCGTATCGCGTCTGCTATATTTGGAGGGAATAAGGTCCCTGATATCAACACATTTCTTTGATTGCTGAATACAATACGGAGTACTCAGTCAAGTAACAACTGCCTAGTTCTTGTGCATTGTTTACTATGTATTAAAATACATACCCTGCCTGTCAAGGCAATTGGGCAAACCCGACTGGCCGAGTTGCCCCGCCACGTTGCAATACCTATTACCTACCTACCTAGGTACCTACTTGCTAAAGGGACCACCAGGTTATAAAGCCTGAGCAATATGAAAAAAAGTATCAAAGTTGGCGAAGATTTACCCCGCGAAACGGGCTCAATCAGGACCCGTCCAGATCCAACAGCACTTGCTAGACATAGACAATCTGGCGTGGAACAACAGGCTCAGCTTCGTCATTGTCAGGGACGCCGGATGGTCAAAGCCGAGCCACCCGTCAACATTCCGGTGCTCGCCTATGGTTCCGAGGTTTATATTTGAACCCGTCCCGAGCACGATCGGGCAACTTCGGGTGACAACTGCTGGCCACGGCAGTGCGAACAACGCACGCCGCAATCTGCCTATTGCGTCGCCATATTTTATCATAGCCGATCCGCTATTGCCTCCAAGACTTTCTCTTTTGGTTGAAGAACATCATCACTATAGCGTACGCCCTGGAGGCACAATGCCTCGCTGACCTTCACAGTAAGAGAGGGAGAAGAGAGACTCTCCTTGCGAGCGATGAAACCAGTCCCAGTCATTATTTTTGGCCTTTTGACTCAAGCTTTTGATTTGTTTCCGCCTGTGTCCCTCAAAAAGGTATTCTATTTGCTCGACGTAACGCCCAAACAAAGCCTTTCCCGTCCGCTAAATAGCATGACAGCATGTTTATGCCTCAGTCTCGGTGTCGGCCTTCTTAGCCTTGTTGCCGCGGGGCTTCTTCTCGGGGGTGGGCTTCACGGGGCGCTGGGAGCGACGGATGGCGGAGACACGCTGGACGGCGGCCTCGCGGAGGTCGCCACGGTAGCCGCCGGCGGCAGCCTGGCGGGCGACGGCGGAGTAGGTCCTATTTTTTCCTCGTCAACATCTCGTCCTCCATCCCTGATCATGTGGTGGTGTCCATGCCGAGGAGCGACATAGGGCCGGGTCCCAACTCACTTGCGCGCAGACTTGTTGCCGCCGTATGTGACCTCAGTGAGGCTCTTGGCGGGCTTGTTGCTGTTCTTCTGGTTCTTGCTGATCACCTTGACACCACCCTTCTCGTTGGGGACAACGCCGATGGCCTAATCATTGCTCTTGTCAGTTAATGCTGTTCGAGATCGTTGGTTCGTTCGCATGTGTAGGGTTTCGCGTTCGTGACTGAGGGTGAGAGTGTATGTACCTTGTCGTTGACGAAGCCAGCGTACTGCATCGATGGTTAGCCAAACCGCTATGGTTCCCGTCGTTCGTTCCTACGGTTGGGTCTTTGACATACCTTGCGGGAGTGCTTGTTGACCAAGTTGAGGGGGTCGCGGGAGAGCTGGAGACCGCCGGCATCGTTGCGGTTGACCAGGAACGCATTCTGGCTGCCTGTGTGTCGAGAAAAATGAGAGCTGGTGAGCAATGGTTGTCCTCATTTTTTTTTCCTCATTTTTTTTTTTTCGCGAGCGTTCTGTACTACACGCGCAACCAGACGTCGGAGTGCAACTTACGGACGACCTCCCAGATCAGGTCCGAGGAAACGTTGGGCAGAGTGGCGGCCATTTTGACTGATTTGAGGGATCACGGAATGGTTGATGAATGCCTTCACGATTCTCTGTTCGCTACTTCTGGGTGTTCGATAGCAGAATTGAATGTGTGGGCTATCGCTTAGGTATCGGTTTGTGGACTAGCGCGATACGTGTCCACTTATCTTATCGTTGCGCCACGTCCGACACCCCTCCGGGGCACAAAAGCCCTCCTCGGCGGGCCGGCACGGTTGTGGCTGGTGATGGCGGTGCATTCTACGAAACCCCCTTAGTCCTTGTCGACATCATCGCAGCTGAACTGACAGTGTGACGACTTGTCAGCCGAGTGCTTACTTGGATCATTATTTTGTCGTGTCCTCGTTATTTTTGGAGACATGGCTTGCCTCAAGAGGGAAGGGTTCGGCACATATGGTTCGACAAACTTTGACAAGCCAACCGCACGAGGCCCACTCCTTGATAGTGAGTCGATGTCGGGGTCTTGTCAACCCCTTGACATTCTTTCTTCCGTCAATGGCTCTGTTCTAATTTCGACGTGGTCTTGCTATGATTTTCAAGTCAGTTGCGACTGGTTTGGCGGGAAAGCAACCCTTCTCCTCCCATCAATATTTGTTTGGTCAGAGAGGCCTGGCCATCATAGCACCCAGCGAGCCAGCTAACAGGGCCAGCAGCTTCACATATCGCATGGCATCCTGTTTCTAAATTTCTTCGATATATCTGCGTGATTTTATATGGAATAGCACCGTGAGGCTTTGGTAACCATGTGATCGAGAGCGTGCCGAGATAAACTTGACGCACTTCGGTCTGTTGAGGCCGGTTGGCTTAGTTCAATTTTCGACAGTCCAACTTGTAAGTTCCCATCATACGACATTTTTCCGAGAACAAAGTATTATGTCTGGAACGTGATCCATGGCCCGGACAGAGATGTGCGTATCAACCCGGAACACGCCAGCTCCTATATACGGGTATCTTCGTGACATTTCATCAAGGCCTGCGATATAAGACGTCAAGAACACCTAAACGTTGTAATCCGTGGCATCCAACAACGCATTTGGCACAGATTTATGTGTCCAAGACGACTCCTATGGGCCTTTTTGACTCAGTCCTTGTATTCTACGTCTTGATCAAACTACAATACGTACAGGGCAATAAAAGATTAGACACCAGGTCCTACATCCAAAAATTCACCCTCGGTAAGCATAGAGATACCCATCAACAGTTACGGCTACGTCGTAGCAGCTTGAAACAAGCCTTATTACTTGGTGCTCTAAGACTGCAAAGTACTTGTAAGCCTACGTCGAGGATGGTGCAGCATTGGCAACCAATATGCGTATCACGCATCACTATCATACGACCATATGTCGCGACTGCCGACATCGAAACATATTATACACAACGAAGTTTGAGCGTCATGAAATCTAAGTCCGTATCTGCTCCGCGAGGTTTCCTGGGTTTTGCCATATGGTTGTTGATCGTAGTAGAAACTCGCCTTTGAAGAGTGCATGTCCTACTGATTGGAACTCTCCAATTTCCCAAAACGTCAAGAATAGTTCCCAATATTGATTATGGCATTGCAAAAAAGTGTGCTGCCTACCATGTAGGCGGGCAGCCCTCCAAGACCAGCAAATCTGGTCTTGTGCATGTAGATAGATACCTCTGGCTTCCAGGAGGGTTGAGGGTGGATTCCCACTCGTTGATATAGAGTTGCAATGAGCAGTATGTATGCCACACGGCTATAGCACCACCTCAGACAGGACTTCAGCGGTGATGGGTGTACATCGTCGTAATTGGGGAGAACCTGGTATGTTGCAGCTTTGGTTGCGAAATTCGAAGCCTGGAAGCATGATACGAAGATTTGATAGCAAGCTTATTCAATAAACAACGGCAACTGAGGGTGTTTATGTCAAGCTATTGTAAGCTTGATCATCACATGGCTTCAGAGATAGCACGAACGATATCAAAAAGTACAATCGCAGGCAACTGTACAGATATCAAGCCTTTGCTGTTCTTTACTGTATACTGTAAAGAAACACAGCATAAGGGATTCGCAAGCGTCGTACAATTAGAGTCCAATTTGTGAGCTACAGAGCGCCAGAAAGAGTATAGCAAGAAATGAGTCCATACACCAGAGTCAATTGCATGACCTCCTGGTGGGAACATGCTGTCTATGTCTCCAACCGTCATTCGACGAAAGCATCTCAATGGCCAGCGGCAACATGGCTCCCCGTTAAATGGGGAAAAGATTGATGTAATAGTCATAGCGAGTTACCCGAGAAGTCACGTCAGTCACCACTCTTCTCTCTGCCTACACCCAGGCTGACAATCCAACTCTTGATTAACGACCGCATGTGCTCATGCGTTTTCCGGGAAAATTGACACCCTGTCAACCTCAAACTGTACAGTGATCGCATATACCCCATTCATACCCGAAAAGCGACAGCTTTCCAACCAAGGTACCCCCGAGATTCTCACGTTGATGCAACTGAACGTCGCAACACAAGAAAACATATGTGTGTATCAGAACGGATAGACAAGTATTATTGCGAACCCACGGCTTGTCTACAACCCGGGCGCTTCCAGGAAAAGCCTCGGAGAATCGATTCCAATCTGTTTCCTCAACCCACCATTGTGAGATCATCTAGACGAAGCCGGACCGTTGTCGCTTGTGACAGGAGATGTTGGTTATCCGACCTCTGCTGTAAAGTTCGGCACGGAAATCTTCTGGAACGAGGTGTCTTGAAGAAGACAGAGGCCGATGCAGCGGCGTGCAGTCTTGCGCAGGCACTGAGCACGAAGCGAAATAGTATTCTACCCGGAGGCGTCTGCAGTGATGGCAAGAGATTGACGGAAGGTTGCCTGCCTCTGTCGGAGCTGGACGAAGGTAGGTATCCTAACGGCGGGCGACGCCCCACCTTGGCTGCGAGGTCTCCTCAAACCGCCCGGGCACTATGTCGTAATTACCTAGCTTTGGGATCTTCACAACCCACATTGACTTTCGAGCCGCTGGTGGTTGTCCATCGCCGCTCGCGGCAGTCTTCCCGCGTGGGGTGCTCAGCGTGGCCCTGGAGCCTAGCGACGTTTGTTAGGAGTGGCGGTGAAATCCCAGGCGTTGAACCCTATCTCCTTTGGGCATCCGGAGACCGAACGGTGTGGGGAAGGGGGATGATTCGATGTCTTGTCCTGGCGTCCAGCAGCAGGTGAACACCAGAAAACCCGCAGCCCATGAATGCAAGGAATCGCCGTCGAATGAGCAGCTTACGTGATACAAGGCGGTTGGTTCGTTTCATTCCAGCGGCCTCCCTTGCAGCAGCATGCGTGCCGTTAATGGCCTTGCGCCGGCCCCACCCTTACGTACCGCCTTCTCAGTTGTGAACAAGGCATAGTAAATGAAAGTGAAACCCCCCAGCCCAGGCACGCGCACCTGTACCTATACCTGTAGGACCAAACGGACATACAGGACCGCTGACAGCCCGGGAGGCCTGCGCCTATACCTAGGTAATATACCTAATTGCAACAGTCACAAGGCCAAGCAACTCCTAAACGGCCCCGAGAGCCATGCGCACTTACGCAACCTCTTCACCCCCCCTCAATTATCCCACAGCCGGCCAGCGTTCGTCATCTCGTTTCCCTTCCTACAACACACCACTTTACCCTTCCTTTCCTGCAACTAGTCAAACACGACCGAAGCCCGACCACCTGCAGGCCTCGACATGATTGCTTAAACCCACCGAACGGCAGTCTCTGACCGTTTCGACTTGCCTCTCACTGATTTTTCGGTTGATCCTAGACTTTTTTCCCTTGTCGTTTCCCTACTCTTTCCATTCGTCTTACACCGCGGCCACATCGTCGCATTTTAGCAAACCGGGAGGGATCGTAGCTCAACACAGCTAAGCATCGCCCACGACCAGCGCATCAAATCACGTTGGACTAGAACCACAACTTCACCAGACCGAAACCGCCTCACTTACCAACCGACTGACGCGCTGTGGTACAAACTTGACCGCCAAGATGCCTTACCTCCTGTACTCGGTCTCCTTCCTCCTCCTCGTTACCGCCACGGCCCTCTACTTCACCCGCTCCCACTGGCTCCCTTACCTCCCCGACCTTCCGTTCCCCGGCCGCGACTACATCTACTCGCGGCTCCCCTCAAGCTTCGCTGGCGACATGGACGCCGGCCTCTCGAGTTCCACCTTTGACCTCGCGGCCAACATCGAGTCGGGCGATGGCCGCGCCGGCCTCGACGACCGGTCTAAGGCCGAGATCCTCAAGATTATGAAGAAGCGCCGCCTGAAGTTTGACGACGCCCGCAGGGCTTACATGCAGCAGCGCTTCAAGGCAAACGGCATCGGACCCGACGGGCGCCCGCTGGACCCCAAGGCCGTGACCTTCAGCTGAATGCGCCAGGAGGAGGTGCTGCCAAGTGGAAGGGGCTGCTCGGATGGGCCGCCTTGATGCGCCCCATCTTGAAGCACAGAATGAGAGGGATAAGAGATATCCGAGGGACGAGGGGATCCCTCACGGCTGAAAATACCACGCCGGTTATATACCACGATGCTTGATGTTCGCTGGCCGCACAACCTTACTGGCACTCACCGAACTATTACATGTCGATACCGACACCGAATATTTTCCTTGCTTTGCCATGGCGCCGATATCCCGCGTGTTCTTGAAGAAATTAGGCGTTGAAGCGTTGATTTCCTATGTCTTGGGTTCTTGCTCGGAAGCACATTTAAGGGGGGCATGGACGAGAGAATGTGTGTGCGCGCGCGGTATGCTTCGCATCGCCCGCGGCACTGTTTCGAGGTGATTTTCTTCCACGTAGAGCGCTTGCGATTCGAGGCTTCAATATTACACTCAGTTCTTATTCTCATTCCAGACCCCTTGCCATCATTCCGGCGAGAAACGACCCCACCGGTAACTTGTATGTCTTTCAGCCCGTGCAGCACCGGGCCGGAGCGCCGCTCGCGTTGGCGACCTCGTCGTACTTCATGTCAAACTTTGTATTAGTGTCGCGGGCTCTTCGTGACGAAGGCCGGACATGAGTAGCTATTATGTTTGCGTCTCGTCCTCGAGGACGACGTATCGAACCGCCTCCTCCTGGGGCTGTCCTATCATATGCAACACCCATTTGCTACAGCACCAACATGTGCCGGTTTCTATGTACAATCGAAGGCCTAGCAACATCCAGGCATTACAAAAAAGGCTAGCCAGCGGGTCCAGCAACGACCGCTGCTGGCTGCAAGGTAAGTGACTAGTGAGCCACATGGGATCACGCAAGACGACCAGTGGTGGCAACAGGCGCGACCGTCTTCAGTTCTTCTTCTTGGTCTCGCCGACGACGTACTGGCGGTCGTCTGTGCCCTCGACCTCCCTCTGGATATCCTCCATCTCCTTCATGTTGGACTCCCACGTCTCACGAGACATCTTGGTCTTCTTGTTGAACCAGGCGAGGTCGGGCTTGCGGTAGCTGCCCCCAAGGCGGTCCCAAAGCGTTGTGAACTGGCCGTAGTTGTAGCTGTATTACATTTCATCAGCCTACTGCTCTGTGCACTCGTCGGAAGGCGAGTTTGGGCTTACTTGAAGTATAGGTGGTGGGCCGTATGGCACGCGGAGCCGTTGATGATGGGGTTGTCGGTGATGTACTCGCCGTCGTGGATGAGGATGGTCCAGAAGTTGATGAAAATAAATAGAACCACGTAGGCCAGCTTGTTGAGGGGGAACAACATGGGGTAGATGTGGTAGGGGGCGGACTGGACGAAGCCGTCGAGCGGATGGAAGGCGTGGCTGGCGTATGGAGAGGGCATAATCCACTTGTGGTGCGGTTTGTGAAGGTGCTTGTAGACGAGTGGGAGGTGCAGCCAGCGGTGAAGCCAGTAGATGCAAAGGTCGGTGAAGAGGATGAAGAGTGGGAATTGTGCCCAGTCATACCAGCGTCCCGGGCCGTCCTCTGTGGCATCGTAAAGCTTACAGAAGCCGCGGACCTCGGCGACGAAGGTGAGGGCGGTGCAGATGGCCATGACGGGCATGGCTTTGTTGGCCTGCTTCATCTCGAGACGGATCTGGTTTTTGAGGAACTTGGGGTGGTTGAAGGTCTTCTTGTCAAAGATGAACATGTACGAGAGGGTCGCGAAGACGAAGTAGTTGAGAAGCCCAAAGATCCTGGTAATTGTTGTGTTAGTGACTGATTGGATGGCTAGACAGAGCGAGACGACCCCTCCGCCGTAGTTTGCCCGCATGAGACATACCAGGTGATGAGGAAAAGGGAAGTGAACTGGCGAAATATGTTGTCCCGAGGCCAGGCGCTCATGTATGCCGCTTCGGAGGGCTCTAAGTAGAGCATATACGTCGAGGGTTTGTACTTCCATGCCGAAAATGGTAGGGCTGTAGCGTTTACGGTGTAGTGAGGAAAGTCATACGGAGCAGCGTGTGAAGGTAGGAGAGTAGCGTAGAATTTGTCGCCGACGAAGGTGTCGACGACCTCGAGAACAACGTCCATGACGACTTGGGCCAAAGAGGGACTTGAGTGTCAAAGGGTCTGATTGCCACGGGTGACGGCGACGAAGCAGGAAAGCAACAGAAGAGAGGGAAAGCCGGGGCCTTGGCGGGGGAAAGAGCGGCGTAGGGCGGGTTCGTGAGTCGACGCAGTTGTACGAAGCTGCAGAGGATCGCGGCCGGGATAGCTCGGGAATGCCTGATCTCATCCAACGTCGAGGAGGAATTCCAATGTACAGAACAAGGAGGCCCGTTGTCTGGTTGCAGCAGGCCGCGGGAACCTGTGCCTGCTTTCCGGAGGAAGAGAAACGGCAATGGCAGCGAGGCAAAGACCAAATGTCTATGCTGCGAAGAGCTTGGGGGTTAGGTTTCGAAGCTGAGGAACAGCTCGAGTTGTGCTGCCTAGCTGTCGAAGCTCTTTGCCAAGGGGGGCTTTGATACTGTAAAGCACCCAGCCCTGAGATTTTCTTTTTCTTTTTGGCAGGGACCGATACGACGATCGAATTCAAGATGCGGAAGGCAGCCGTATAAAGTTGCTCTAAGTCAGGGTCGCGAGGTCAAACGGCACAAACTACCCAAAGGTGGGAGCGGACTATCTTTTATTTTGACTCGATCTGTCCATGTCTGTTGCAGGCAAACTGCGAGACGCAGCATAGTCGGTGTGCGCAAACCCATCTCGCTCCTGGAGAGTCGTTCGAGGTTAATATCCCAATGGGATGTTCGTCACTTGGGGAATCGCATGATCCAGCCGAATGGGCCCAGTCGTTCCGTTTTCGATGTTGACGTTAGGTGGACAGCCAGGGAGCCCGCTGCCATAGTCCATTGGCGAATGAGACGCACCCAACTCGTATTCGGATTCAGGGCAGATCGGGCACTAACCAATCAAGACCTGGAGTTCGGCCTGTTGGGTAAGTGGTGGTTGTTACAGTCACTTGACAAAAGTCTGGGCTCAACCACTACCCTCCCACTGGTGGAGTGAGCCCAGACTTCTGTCATGTGACTGTACCTACTTACCTACCTAACTTTACCCAAGATCTGATTGGTATTATCTTTCTTGCAAACGATCTGGGCGTTTGACGTGCAACGGCGGCCAGCCAGCGCCATAGCCTGTTCAGACAGGCCCAGTCGACGTCGCTACCAGATGGAGGCAGGCAAATCTCGACTCTGGTCGTGGTAGAGGTTTTTGGGCACCCCATTGGTGGTCCCTCATGCTCTTCAGCTGTTTCCAGAAAACAAGGCCGCCCAGGATTCGGGGTTCCAGTGCATCGGGGTGATTACGCAGCTTTGGCGGCAGGGCCTTCTGAATTGTCCCAGATCCACTCGGGGTGACGAGCTAGACTGGGTTGAGCCGTCGTTTCTGACCACAGCCATACATAGCCGAATCAAGGTACGGTTAACGTACGAAGACACGTGTTGCTAAATGACGAAGTGCTGTGTCGGATGCTAACCACCACGCCCTTTGGGGATTGGTGCGGTCGGAATTCCGTAGAGAGTCGCAGAGACGTTTGGCAGCCCTTTCCAAGGCCATCCTTACCCAGGGCGTCGATCTCGACATCCTTATTAAGAGAGAGGCACTGGCTCGCAGCGCCTAGAACGTCTCCAATGACGGGTGAAACGAGTGTTTGCTGGTCGGCGGGCCACTGACTCGGGAACGAAGCGGGGGTCGTCCCGGAAGGCAGCCTCTAAGCTGTTCCGCCAGCAGTCCGAGGCTTTGCAGTTGTTGTGGGGAACCATAACATCGGAATAAGTTTTGTTAATGCTCGGGGAAGCGTGTCCCTGAGCGACTTCGCCGGGAACGGAGAAGGTATTCGATAGTTCCCACGACCAGAGCCTTCGACTCATGAGCCAAGGCAACCAGTGGGATGAGTATTCACAAGCTGCGACGGACTTTGTGCCGTAATAACGTCCTCTGGAAAAGGGGTACTCGCTGGGTTGCGTTACAGTCAACCACGTAAGCATAAGCAATCAGCCAGGAATTGGCGAGCACACGAGCACATGTAAATGGATGGCCGCCCCCTTTGCGCTTCGGACCTTGGCAACATAGTACTATGATATCCGGCCGAAGTTTTATCGCCCCTGTCAGGTACCCCCCCTCCAGTCCACCAGCTGTCAACGCCATCTAGCTATTACGCATTACCTATCACCACCACCATAGATTTCTATAGAGATAGGTAGGATGCTGAAATACTGTGTGGGGATTTACATCACTAGGACGATAAAACTTACCCCTACCACCCTGTACAAAAAGCAGAGCATAGGTACTTACCTACCTACTCGAGCCAGCGTTTGACCTGTGTACCCGTACCCGATGAGCTGTGGCAAGGCAGGCCTGGCTGGCACTAAGCTACCTACGCTATCTAGCCCTGCTCACACTTGACCTCCACCCCGTCTTTACCGAGCCTGGCAGCTTACCTCAGCCGGAACCCCTAACAATGGCAAGTCACCTAACCCATCTCGCCATTCCAACGCTAACGCAACCGAAATGCGCCTCAATCCCTTCCTGGGCTGAGGGCTGCTGTTGTTACCAGATGAGTGTGGCTAACCACGCTGCACCCGCCCAACCACATTACGTCCTAGCCGCCTCCTGAAAAAATATCATGGTGCTTCGACCGCATCTTCCAAGTAGGTTGACGGGGTAGTTGTTGCACAGGTCCTGGCGCGTCTTCCGAGACCAGGCTACCGCTGTATGTGATGCCCAGTTATAATTCAATTTGGACGGTCATAAGATGACGCGACAGTCGCGGCCTGAGTTGCATATTTTGTTCGGCGTAAGATGTGATCTCTTGTCTCTGTGAGGTGAGCTGCAGCATAACGATCGGCCCTGGTGATACGTAACGGGATGCCGACCTCTATGCGTCGAGGCACAGCATTCCGATCAGTAACCTCCAGAGTTGCTGCATGGTAGGGTGATATGATAGGTATGAGCGCCCTACATCGACGGCGGATGGCGCGTGGCATCATTTGTTGATTGACGGGTACATATCAGGGGCCGAATTGCTGTTCATCCCCACCCCTACCAGTAATGCCGCAAAGGCGGCTGTGTGCCGACCCGGAGCAGGCAGCAAGATGTCACGCACACACACAGAGAGAGAGGGAGAGAGAGAGTAAAAATGAAGAAGAAACAAAAAGAGGACGAAAATAAAGAAGAAAAACATCGTCAAGAGATGGATGGGGTGTGGGTGGCGTAGCAGCACCAGAACCCCCACGCAAGGTAGTTTGTAGCAGGTGGTGAGTATAACCATACCCACGCCCGTTACCTGCAGGCTTTTGCCAGCCGAGCTGTTTGTGTGCAGTGTGTGTGTATATACGCGCGCGTTCCCGGTCTGTTTGGCCTATCTGTACCCATAATCACTACATGACATTGCATGGCGCATGCTGGTGGCGGCAGTGATGTGATGGTACACTACCATGGGAGGGAGCGGGCGCCGGGGGCTGGCTGAGCGGGATCGTTGGTAAGCTTACACCGTATCCGTACTTGTTTCACCTTTTGTTACTACTACGCAGTGTCTTGATATTTCTGACGATGACCAACAGGGGGGAGGGGGGGGAGGCATGGAACATTTCGACAGCTTCCATGCCCGAAGTGGGGGACAAGATGATCATCGCCATGGCCACCGCTCACAGGCCTTGACCTACTCACTCTATGTAAACTCATGACGAATAACTAACTCACCGTACTTACAGCGGACGGATGGCCGAGGAACGTGAGCAACGTAATTGTCCATCTTGCCAACCTCATCGTCAGCTGGTGGCGGTGATGCGCCGTCTTCCTAACAAGATGGGTAGAAGTAATATCCGTAGGCCACTGTCAGTCCTTCACGACGCAAGACATCAACGGCCACTTGACTGAGAAAGCATTTCTGTCTCTGGGTAGCTGTTTGCTGCACACTGAGTACCTAAGGTAGGTTTATGTATGGCAAGGAAGGTCTCACCTTGGCCTACTGACAACGTCTTGCTGCCGCACCCAACAGAGCCTTTGGCACCAAGTACGGATACACGCATGCGCTAACATGTAAGGTACAGTTGACGCAGGAGGTTCTCTCGGTCCTCAGACGTCGTCAAACCCGCTCTTGTTTCCGTCTTCCGCTCGGCGCATACCCATGACCAGACCAGACCAGACCAGACCAGACCAGACGATCCACAACGGACACAACCTTCTCACTCACAGGCACCACACCAAGCGCATATGTACCCATCCCTCTGACCCTGATCCTTGACCCTTTCCTTACTCCGAACGACGCCTCCACCCCACCCCCTTCCGTATTCTAGCCGTCCTCCATCCTATACGCTCGCCCACACACCCTTTGTTTAAACAACAAACCCTTATTCATCATCGGAAACAACAGCCGCATCCAAACCACACGCTGCAAATCACCTACCTACCTACCAAACTAGGTACCACATGCTAGTGTACGATGTATGTACCTGCTGAGCGTATACCTAATAATCCGTCACGTCTTTCGTCTTTCTCGAATGGAAGGAACGTTCTCCGTCCGTACCCACAACCCACACACCCTCGTCTTCTCTGCCACGTCCATACACTCATTTTCGGATGCACACACCCCCTCCCCCCTCCCCGTGTGTCTTTGGGGGTTTTCCACAGGCTGCGCCGTTGCATCTCAAGATGCTGTCTCCAACCCGCGTTTTCCGCGATGCCCAACCTTGCTGACAGGGCATCATCAATGATGCTCAAATGCTTCACTTCCTCATTTGAAGATTGTCATACACGATAGGGCGAATTGACTCATATCTTACGCAGAGAGAGAGAGAGAGAGAGAGAGAGTCAAGCTTACTTGGTGCGTTTTTGCAAGATTTCTCGAATGACGAACCTGCATCGCAATGTTTCTGAGATTAGTGGGTGATGCGGAAAGGGAGACAAAAACATGATGTAGGAGGCACGCGCCCTGTTAGCCATCATCGTAAGTCAACGGGTCCCAAAACTTTGCGTTGCAAACGTAGGTACGTAGGTCATTGATTAAGGGCCGGAATCATATACCGCCGAGATGCTTATATCGCGTTCGGGTGTAGCATTTTGTTGTTGTTATCGTTGGTATTGGTGTTGGTGTTGGTGGTGCATGACTACAAGCCGGGTAAGACCAACTGTAGTAGGTTAACAAATACCACATTCACCACCTACCTACCTACCAACATTCGTATACGACAGCAAAACCAAAGGCTGGACGGTCGTTGGCAGGTACTTACCTACTGTACCTAGCCCTGTGCCTGTTGGACTACCTAGTGTACATCGTAGCGTAGACTCAAGGTGCGAGCTGCACCCCACTCTAGCACCACCCCCCCGCTCCGAAGGCTAGCTGAGGCACCAGAGCACCCCTGCCCTACTCTACTAGGTATGTATTGAACCGATTCAGTCGCCGCCGCCTAGGACCCACTTACCCAAGTCAAGCCCGGACAGATTGAAACTATCCACACCCGCTGGGAGGAATACTTCAAGCAAGCGCCACATGGGAAGGATCCACATTTCGAGCCAGCTCATCCTCCAAAAGTCGACACGCACAGACCTTGCTTTGGGGGTGGCGTAGCGGCCTCCTGGCTGATACTTTACGACTACATGGCTGCCATCCACGCTTTCAGTTCCAAACCCTGGGCCGAGTGCCCTAATGATCCTGTACCTTTCCGTGCAGCCCGATGTATCCTCATCAGGCGAGCTACTTGTCAAGCTTGGCGTGCAATTGGTTCCAGGGGGGGGCGGCGGCATAGAGCAGTTCACCTTTCTCTTTCACACTCCTTCTCTCTCGTGGGATCCACATTTGGATCATATCCCCAGGCGGCTCCCATCCGTCTCTCTCGCTCTTCTTTTTCTCGGCCTGTGCACCTTGCACCTTGCACCCTGCACTAGTCTCCTCTCTTTCCACTCGCCAGCCTCTTCAGCCGGGTCCTTTCTCTCCTTCCTCTCTTTGCCTACCCGAACTTTTCTTTCCGTTCCTCTCTCCCCCCCCCATCTCCGCTGTGACAACCTCGACACGCGCGCGCGCACACACACACACACACACACACACACACACACACACACATCCTCCCTCCCTCTCTCTCTTTCTCACACACAACATAACACATCACTATCATCATCAATCGGTCACCAAGCTGCATTCATCTCATCGTCACTCCCCCAACTACGACAGCATCGATATCGCGCATCCAGCTGCGCCTCCCTGCCTGGACGGCTCTGCCGCTGCCGACGCTCGAAACTTTCAGGGGACGTTACTCCAGGCAAACCGCGCCTTGTCATTGTGCACCCACCGATTGAAGGGCGCCCATTGCGGCAACCGCCAAATTTTTGCGAGCCACGATTTCCACAAGAAGGAAACTCGACGCATCGTGTTCATCGTCGACTTTTGAGGGGGAAAGCCAATTATCCTCCTTCATCTTCTGATACTCGGCGATCCATCTTTACGGACCTCCACCTCCCCGCCTGGCGATCCGTGTCTCTGCAGCCCTGAACATTGTCCCTGACTGCAACAATTGTCACCATGTCCATGTATCCGCATCGCGCCATGGGCGCGGTGCCCCCCAACAACTCGGCCCGGCTCAACGAGCTCCTCGACCAGATCAGAACCGAGTTCGACACGCAGATGCGCCAAACCGAGGGCTACGAACATCAGAGTAAGACGATCGCGTCTGGTCGCTCTTGTTGCTGTCGCTAACTGTCCTTTCAGTCCAGGCCCAGGTCCAGGAGATGCAGCTCGTCAGAGAAAAGGTTTACGCCATGGAGCAGACGCAGATGAATTTGAAGCAAAAGTATGTCCGCTACCGATGCAATCTCGACTTTCCGATAAGCTATGAAAATGCTAACAGTAAACTGCAAATAGGTACGAGGAAGAGATTGCTATGCTCCGACGCCAGCTTGAGGGGGCCCGCGGAAACGCGCCGCCTAGCATTGGCGGCCCCCCTCCTCACGCTGGACCGTCGCAACAGCCTCCCTCCATTACACCCGGGACTGGCCTCTTCAACGGCATCATGACCGGTGGCGGCCAGGCCCAACTGGCCCCTCCTCCTCCCCCTCCTCCGCCTCAGGACCAGCAAATGGGCCCGCAGCATCAGATGGCACAAGGCCCCCCGGGCCTCCCGGGCCCGCCGCCGCCGCCCCCTCAGTCGCAGCAGCCTTTCCAGCAATATCCCCAGGGTCCCGGCGGACCCGTCTCTAATGGCCTTGGCTCCCAGCCTCCTCAGACGACCGCATCGCCTGGCCCCGGCAGACGCGGAATCGGACGACCTCCCGCGGCTGTTGGTCCGGCTACTCCTCAGATCAACACCCCGATTCCATTCCCCGGCGCTACGCAGTCGCCCCAAGTCAGCCATCCGACGCCTGATCACGCGCGGATGGGAGGTCCTCATGCCCCTCCTGTGGGAAACGCTCTTGGCGATCTTGACCCTGATCGCCTGCCTCCTCATTCCAAGAAATCGGGTCACGACTGGTTCGTCATCTTCAACCAGCATGTGCCGCGGATGCTTGACGTCGACCTGGTCCACACTCTTGCGCACGAGAGCGTTGTCTGCTGTGTGCGATTCAGCCACGATGGCAAGTACGTGGCCACCGGATGCAACCGGTCCGCACAGATTTACGATGTTCAGTCCGGTGAGAAGCTGTGCGTTCTTCAGGATGACACTGTCGACATCACCGGGGATCTTTACATCCGCAGCGTCTGCTTCAGTCCTGATGGCAAGTACCTTGCTACTGGTGCCGAGGACAAGTTGATCAGAGTAAGTAAAACGAAAACGGACGTTTGGTCAGACCATGCTAACCGCCTTTTCAGGTCTGGGATATCCAGTCCAGGCAGATTCGCAACACCTTCTCTGGCCACGAGCAGGACATCTACTCGCTCGACTTTGCCCGCGACGGTCGTACGATTGCTTCCGGAAGTGGAGACAGGACCGTCCGTCTCTGGGATATTGAGCAAGGTACCAACACTCTTACTTTAACCATTGAAGACGGTGTCACGACGGTCGCCATCTCTCCCGACACCAAGTATGTCGCGGCCGGTTCGCTTGACAAGAGCGTCCGCGTTTGGGATATCCACCAGGGATACCTCCTGGAGCGACTTGAGGGCCCTGACGGCCACAAGGACAGTGTCTACAGTGTTGCTTTCTCTCCTAACGGCAGAGACCTGGTCAGTGGCAGTTTGGACAAAACTATCAAGATGTGGGAGTTGAGCACGCCTCGTGGTCTTCCCAACCCCGGTCCCAAGGGAGGACGTTGCGTCAAGACTTTCGAAGGACACAGAGTGAGTAGCTCCCCAGACTAATAAGTTAAGCCACACTGGTATGCTAACAAGAATAGGACTTTGTTCTCTCCGTCGCTCTGACTCCCGATGCTGCCTGGGTCATGTCCGGTTCCAAGGACCGCGGTGTGCAATTCTGGGATCCTCGCACTGGAGCCACACAGTTGATGCTCCAGGGTCACAAGAACAGTGTTATCTCCGTCGCTCCCAGCCCGACGGGAGGCTACTTCGCCACCGGCTCTGGTGATATGCGGGCGCGCATCTGGTCATACCGAAGTGTCCAGTAGGAAGCTGGAGTCAACTTTTTGTGGGTTTCGTGAGTGGCAGATATGTATACCAAATAGCAGTCTTGAGTAAATGGTGCTCTGTCACTGGGGGTTTCTGTGGTGAAATCTGCTGTCTCTGACTTATGTCTTGGGACACCCTCAGTTGAAGAGACGGATAGGACGGTCGGGGCGCACTGGCAGGGGACATGTCGGAATCTCGTAGCAAATAGCCGTCGCTAATGAAAGATTTGAAAGCTTTACACGAATTGGGTTGGAATATACGCATGAGTAGTTCTATATGAGCGAACTAAACAAATCTGAAAATTCATCGCCCCTTTTTGACTTCTTCTTGCTAGGCCTCTTCTCCGACCTTGTTTCCTTGACCCCTCTGCTGGGTTCTGGCTCGGTGATGGGAGCACCAACCAGCTTGCGTTTCTTTTTGCTCGCAATGGGCGCTGCAGCGACAGCCTTGGCGTCCTCTTTCGTTGTTGGACGGCGACCTGGGGGTTTGGCGGTCAGCTCCATCTGGTCTCGGGATATGACCACGCCGAGATCCATTGACTCTGGATTCGTCTGGCCTTCCTTGGCCGTGACCGCATCACGATGGCTTGGTGATGAGTTGGCCATGGGCTGCATTGCATCACCTCCCTTGGGCTGTCGAGGGACCAAGGGAGCAATAGCCGAGTTTATACGGGCCAGAACACCCAGTAAAACCAGGCCTAGGGCGGCATGCTGGCTATCTGCCGCCAACTGACTGAAGGCTCTGATGGTACCATGTTAGTTCACGAGAGACACGTGACGGAGTTGCGTCTTAGACCCCTCAAGGTGGTGGGGGACGGGGCAACAACGACATACAAGAATGACGATGGGATAGTTGTGTCGAGCAATAGCCGCGCCCCGTTGGCAATGTTCTCGCCCAACGCTTCGCCCCGACGGTCCCCACTGCCGGTGCCGGGGCCGGCGTTGACCTTGCCGGCCGATCTCTTCGAGGGCGCCCTGAAGCTCTGGGTGTGGTGGTGGCGGACGCGGGTCTCGAGGGCGTCGTGAAGACGCCTGACGGAGCGGCGGAGGAGGTCGAACTGGGACCACCAGCGGGCGACACGGTGTTGGTTCTTGTTGCGGTGGTTGAAGCCGTCGAGGATCTGGAGGACGGGGACCAGGACGTCGATTGTGGGCTGGTGAAGGTCGGTCGGGACGGCGGGGTTCATTATTCCGCTCGCTCTGCCGCGAGGACGGGGAGCGCGTGTTCTAGACGTGCTGTGGACTTTAAGAGGGGTTTTTTATTTCCTTCTTTCCTTTTTCTCACTTTAAAGTTGCTGGCTGGCGAGTTAAGCCGTCGATGACGGGAAACGGACGCCTGTACCTTGGCTGACTTATTTTTATTTATTTCTCATGTCATAGTGGGGGGACCGTGCCCCTCCGCCTCTTGTTCTTTCCGTAGGACCTTCACCTTTTTTTGAGTTATGCATGCACGAACGAACGGGTATCGAAGCAGACTTTAGCGGACCAGGCGTTGAGCTGGGTTCGGATCGGCGAGAGTTTAAATTAGCTCGGTAACGTAATGTACGGCGAGGTCAGGTTAGGTAAAGCTGTATTAGGGGGGTCCCGTCTTCCGGACTATGGGATTCGCACGCGGAGGAGGAAGTCGTTGACTTTTTTGTGTGGGTGAGCCGCATGGGGTCTTGCATGGGACAAGCTGGTAACCGCCACGAGACTAAACGAAACCAAGCCCGAGGTTACTTCGCTATTCACAAACCAGCCACAGGCGGCGAAGTCGGGGGAAGAAGAAGAAGGGGAAGATGATGATGATGGTGGTGGTGGTGGTGTTGACGATCAAGAAGATACCCGGCGGTTTTGGAAGGGACGCCGGAACAAAGAAACAGCCACGTCTGTGCGGGGAGTCGGGCTCCTGGTTGGAAGGGAGGAAATGGTCTTGGGCGATCCGGGGGGTCATGGGTTCGATCGCGACATTTGCCTATCCATAGACAGTCTCAACTAGGAGGGGTGAGGCCATGATGCCAGATGAGGCGATTGCGATGGGCAGCACAGCATGTGAACACGAGGCTCAGGCATCCGAGGGGTATGGGAATTTTGAGTTCATGAAGACTGGCACCGAGAGGGGTCGAAGACTTGCGAATAATCCCTCACCGACTGCACCTCTGGCACTGACTTGCCGCTATCTGTCCGTTCTCTAGTTGTGATAGCCTCTTCTCGCATTTGACGTCCATGCATGAACCTGTCTCATCGTGGGGGCATTGGATGACATGTCATGCGGGACTGTACTGAGGTGCCGTGGAGGAATAAGGTATGCAAGTAGCGGTGAGTAGCGGCGGGTACGGGGAAGAGTCCGCGGGTATCCTGGGGTTATCTGCGTACCACGATATAGACTCTAACCGGGGTTCCGAGGCAAAACACAGACCTAACAAGCCTCCCCACATCGCACCTTTGTTGGAGGAAAACTATCATGCATTCATACATGCGGATGGTAGGAATACCGTAGCCACTCGCCAAACCCGAACAGAGCTAACTTTCAGGCTAACATCAAGGGGTATAGCGGCCGCTAAAAAGAGACTAGTGCGCTGGCAGAAACAGAGATCAAATACTGGCCAAAGTCGGGGTTAGTCACGTGTCGCATACGTCAGTAGGAAGTTTGGGTGCAAACCTGGCTAGCTGGGTGGTGAGTAGGTTGACCGCCTTTTATTTTGAGCCTAGCTTAAACTGGGAAGTCTAGCTATTATCAGTTAGTCTAAAAAATAGCTCTGTTCGGGTTTGGCGAGTGGCTACGGTAGGTAAAGTCGACAGAGCTGCTTGCTTTTTTCCCTGTCCCCTCCTTACCCGTCCCACTTTAGCACCCCAGCGACTGCAGTACGTAATCTCGTTGCACAAAGAAGGCAAGGACGGGAAGGGGTGGCCATGGTGGTGGGGGAGGAAGGTGGAGTGCGGAACCGGGGTTGGGCAAGTTCTGGCCGCTGCGAGGCCCTGCAACCTACCTAACCTGCAGATATTGCAGGTTTAAGTCGGTCGCTCATTGTCCAACCATAGACGCGGGCGCGATAAGCCGGCCAACTTTTGACGATGTGGACGGCGTCATGGAAACCAAAGTCCTAATATCCAGCTGACTTGGTTTCTTGTCTGGCCCGTCCATCTACCCACGTCCTGCCGGCTTTGTTACCCGGCCGAGGTGCCAGCATCGAATCCACTTCCTAAAGCATCAACCTTGTGGTTGCTTGTCTGATGCTCTTGCGTAACCCGCAGCCCGAGATTGGACTCTGTCATGCAGGTCAATCTACAGATACCTATCGACGCATCCACGGGTCCTCCGGTACCGCCGACAATGACAACCTTGGATTATGAGAGTTGAATGACTAGAAGGGCCAGTAGACGGCCTAACCTTGTCCAAGATCCCCTACCAATACCAGTCAGCCTCCCCAAAAGATCGATACCTTTCCTACCCCTTGGCTCCGATCTCTGGCTTCCTCTCATATGGTCTATCGGAAAACTGGAAGAAGCATTGGTTGGTATCGGATTGACTGGGGTGGTTTCCTGTCCGAGCGGAAAGTTGCCTTGGCTTTCGAGCATCTACACTGCTTCTCCTCCTCCTCTTCATCACCCCCCTCCCTTCCGGCCCTACATCGTCTTTCCACCTTTTTCTCCCATCTTCCCTTCCGCCTCGGTTCCACGGGCGCCTCTAACCAGCAACTAACAATCGACGGAGGTCGATGGAGTTGATTATCTAGCTCCTCTTCTTCTTCTTCTTCTTCTTCTTCTTCTTCTTCTTCTTCTTCTTCTTCTTCTTCTTCTTGCTCTCTCTCCTCACACTGCGACGTAACCTCAACTGCTGTTATCTCTGTTCCTTCCGTCCTTCATCCCCACCCCGACGTGGAGCAGGAGGAAAAAATAACCCAGTTGGAACCTCGCCAGAGGCTACTTGCGACAACCTGGACTTCCCAAAATCCACTGCACTAGCACCAACTCATCTCCCGCGACATCCCCACTTGGACTGTTTCTGTTAGGGGTGCAAAAGGGTAGATTTGCGACCTACCTATACACGGCTTTTTGGGCGCCGCATGTAGCCTGTACCACCCGACTGATACCAGGTATATACAAGTCCGAACGCCCACGCGCACAAGGGGGGAAAAGCCAGTCGCGCGACCACCTCGAAACCTACCTCCTTCCCCCCTTCTTTATTGTCGCTCCTCTTTGCCATTGCACCCTCCACCTGGCATCTGTTTCTTCGAATTTCTACCGCCAAGATCTCATACCCCACGACCTGCTCCCCTCATGGCCTCGAGAAACCCGTCCACTTGGGACGAGTACGAACGGGGCGCATCCCCCCAGCGCTCCGTGAGCATCGACTCCGATGCCGTCGCCGAGGACCAGTCGCTCTTGGGGGAGGACGACGAGGGAGGTTACGGCGGCAATTCTCGTGGGCTTCGCAGAAGGTTGGTCTTTGAAAAAAAAAAAAAAAAAACTTGGCAGTACCCTCATGACTTCGCTTGTCGCTTTCGTCGTTGCTGCTATGCGATTCTCCCCCACTAACCCATACATACCCCTCCTTTAGGTCTTCAGTAACACGACACCTGGCCGGCATCACAAGTATTGGCGGCGTCAACAGCATTCGCTCTTTCACTCGCAGTTGGGCGCGTGCTGCAGGCTTCGCCGAGGTTATCCCTCAACGGCCATCCTTCGTTTTCGCACCCGACCAGGTCCCCATTGCCTCGGGATCGAACGAGGCCCTCGACTACTCCCGAAGCCACGTCGAGTCAGGTTCGCACCCGAGAACCTCGCTTCTCAGACAGCACCTCGAAGCCACGCCGGAGACGGGTCCTGGCACCTCACACCATAATGGCTCTTCCAGTTCAGTTGCGGACGGTGGCTCGGTCCAGAATGACTTCCGCGACAGAGAGCGCAAAGCCGTCGAGGCGGAAATGTCGGGCGCCATCTACGGCTCAAGCTTTGGCAGCGGCCGCCGGCCTTCGCAATCCATATTCGCAGTTCCGCCCCATCTAGCAACACCGCCGCTGGTTGGCAGCTACAGTTCGTACAGGACGTATGGCACGATAGAGGACGTTGACTCGCCATCGATGGCGCAGGCTGGAGAGCTGTGGCGTCAGCAGCAAGAGGCAGGGGGCAACGTTCCAGACGGAGAGAACATGCCCATTCTTGTAAAGGAGGTTGAGCAGGACGGGAAGATCATCTTGACTGTGGAGGGACAGTCCACGCTTCCCCAAACCATCTTCAACTCGATCAAGTCAGTCGCGCCCCATCCCTGCAAATCTCACCAAAGGCAATTAAGTGCTGACTTGTAACGCAGCGTTCTCATCGGTGTCGGTCTTTTGAGTTTGCCCATGGGAATCAAGTATGCCGGTTGGATCTGCGGCATGGTCATCCTGGCCGGTTCCGCAGCCGTGACTGCCTACACGGCCAGGCTTCTGGCCAAGTGCATGGATCTTGACCCAAGCTTGATTACCTTCTCCGACCTGGCCTACATCTCGTATGGTCGCAACGCGCGTATCGCCACCAGCATTCTCTTCACCCTCGAGCTTCTTGCCGCTTGCGTTGCTCTCATTGTCCTCTTCGCCGACTCTCTAACCCTGCTCTTCCCGGGTTTCTTGAGCGTCAACACCTGGAAGCTAATTTGCTCCGTGATCATGGTTCCCCTCAACTTCCTCCCCCTCCGACTGTTGAGTTTCACCAGCGTCATTGGCATTGTGTGTTGCTTTAGCAGTGAGTTCTGTTTCCTCTCGTGTTCCTGTTGAAAGGGTCCTGGCTGACGTACCGGGTTAGTTGTGGCAATTTTGGTGATCGATGGTCTGATCAAGCCAACAACACCTGGCTCCCTTATCGAGCCGGCCACGACGTACTTGTTCCCGGCAAACTGGGGCACATTACCGTTAAGCTTCGGCCTGCTCATGAGCCCTTGGGGTGGCCATAGTGTATTCCCCAACGTGAGTATTCACTGACCCCCCGCGACGACGGGCTGATGTTGTATATATATATATATATATGTATGTATGTATGTATAGGCCTATACTGACGGTTCGTTCAGATCTACAGGGACATGCGCCATCCTCACAAGTATCCTCGGGCCGTTAAGACGGTCTTCACGTCGGTGGTGAGTTGACATGCAGCAATGCTACCTCATTGCACCAAATACTGACTGCGATGCAGTATCTCCTCGACGCCTTCACGGCGGTTGTGGGCCTCCTCATGTATGGCGACAACGTCTTGGACGAGATCACGGCCAACATCCTTCGGACGAGCGGTTACCCGCGCGCGCTCAACTTCCTGTTGTGTGTCTTTATCGCCATCATTCCTCTGACCAAGATCCCGCTCAACGCCCGGCCGATTGTTGCGACCCTGGAGGTGTTGACCGGCATTCACCAGCAGGCCGTTGCCGACAGCTCAGCCATGGTTGGCCGCTCTGCCACCTTCAGGGGCATCATGAAGGTCGCCATCAGGGTTGTGACCGTATTTGTCTTCCTCATCATCTCCATCCTGTTCCCGGCATTCGACAGCATCATGGCGTTTATGGGCAGTGCACTATGCTTCACCATTTGCGTGCTGTAAGTGAAGCCCCATTCAACCTGGACCCTTTGGACGAGCCAGCTAACCTCTCCTTCACAGTTTGCCTCTTGCGTTTTACGTGAAGCTCTTCAGCAAGGAGATCAGTTCCCAGGAGAGGCTCCTTTGCTATGTCTTAATGACTATCTCGACGATCCTGTCTGTTGTAGGCACAGTCTGGGCCTTCCTGCCTAAAAGCCTCATTGGCGCAGAGTAAGCCGGACCTGTCGACAATGGCTTTTTTGGTACTTGTGTTCGTCGTGGCATAATTGGCGTACTGGAAAATTGCTCAACTCGGCTCATTGCACGGCGCCGGTGGCATCTGGCTTGAATACCTGTGTGATATATTGGTGGCTCTCCTGTATCTTTCTTGCGATGTCTCTGTCCATAGCTACTGGTGTCTATCTATCAACGGTCTGTCTTTCTGTCTCTCACGGCAATGTATAGATGCTTGACCGTGTCGTTTACTACATACACGCGACCTCGCAGTCTTTGCAACATATTTATCTGCAATACCATGTTGATATCCTCCCTCCGTAACTCTTCCCGCGCAGCAGTCCCGGTCATGAAGAAGCCGTGGCTGCCTTGCGCCCTGGTATCATTGGTACTAGGGATTGGTTATATCACAGGCGCAGTCATAGCTGTTTGTGACGCGTTCGGTGAGCATGCTCGGTATCACATGGCTCGACACTTCAATCCCTCCGCGAAACATCCTTCCAAAGCGAGTGCTCTTGATGTACGACATTGGCTGGCAGGGGCTGGTGACACAGCAGAGCCGGCAACCGTATTACTTCCCCGCTACCCCGAGCGGCCAAGGTTTGATGTCCGCAGCTGATCCGGGGTTCCTCTAAAAGACCCGATAGCCATGCTCCACATGTGCGACGACCTATACACAAGTGCCGTCGGCACCCCCTTTCGCCTGGCACAGTGATGCATTGCACCATGTCCCCAGACGTCTATACCGCCGCTGACCTCGATGCCAGCAGCAGGTATTCAGCGGCCGTGAAGGCGCATGGGACAGAGAGGCACGCGCCATTTCATAGCTAGGGGAAGGCAGTTCATAACACATAAGCCACGTCGGTTTTCAGTGCCCCGCCCCATCGCTCTGCTGCGCGAACCGACTCTCACCCTATAGTCCTTTCCCGGAACATCGGATGCAAATTAAGAGGAGACGTGCTTGTGACATATCCACCCCTCATCGAGTAAACGTTTTGTGGTGGCCGGCGGCGCATGGTTTCGACAGAGCAGGCAATACTTGACAGGTCATCAAAAGGACGTCGAAAGGGACGCCTAAACTGAGTATGACGCGCAGCACTGTCCGACCCATTGGCAGTACCGAGATTGCACAGTACTAGTCTTGAGCTAGGGTCAGTCGCTGTTACGAGCTTTTGGCTATCGCACGAGTTAAGTCAAGTGAGAGGTAGCATGACGTAGTATCAACATGAAGATTTGGGGCGAGAAGGAAGGCCAGGCAGAGCTTGGAGTCGCTTGCCTGTACTTTGGGTGAATAGACTGGTCACTGGTGAATGAGGACCCTCAGGCGTAGGTAGTTGATTTGAGTGGGTAACCTCTGGTATTGTTTATTAATCTGGAGATATCTAATACACAGAAAGCGAGTTGAGTTCCATCATCCAACCAGGTGTCATGTCTTGCCCATATGAACCAAGCCGCTACTGTAATCAGTCACGACGAGGACCTGCGGAGGAAACGCGGCGACGCCCTGCTGGTGAGAACCCAACCACAAGAGGTGACTCGGCTAGGAATGCGCTTCCTGCCAGCCACCAACCCACTCGACATCTGCGAGATCATTGCGCTTCTCCCTGCGCCAGTAGTTCCAATCTCTGCCCTTATTCCAGGGGCAATCCTTCACCTTTTCCTTAGGTGATTTGTTGTGACTGATGTGACTGTTGTAGTGTCCAGTGTATTCCCAAACTCCCGCTGCATGAGAATTGTATCCTATTCCAATTGTTCGTTGTTGCCGAGGAAACTCCGATGAGCCTGTAAGCCCACGACGCCGCTGACCCAAGGCAGACCACTTGTCAAGGTTGTCCCGCTTGGGGGGCGACTGACGAGTGGTCAGCATTGGCTTGGGCTTCGGTGGAGACGAATGTTGAAAGAAGAATCCATCAGAAGCGTGGTCGCTGTCGATGTCGTTGTGGATCAGCTTAGCGCCGTCGTGGAGAGAATGCTGAGGAGTAGTCGCAAGGGGGGTAGCGTCGACCGTGTCACAGCCATCCTGGTCATCCAGCTTGCTGTCGTGGCTCCAAGTCCTTGAGTTTAGGTCCTTCAAAGACTGCATCTGCCTCTCGCGCTCCGCTTCCTCTTCCTCTTCATCCTCGTCCCACATGTCACTCCAGCTCTTGGAGACGACATCTTTACGGCCAAAGACCAAGGACATAGAGGACAGGTTGCTGCGAGGCTTGTTCATGTTGATGGGAAGAGATCCGGCCATTGGCGAAACCTTGGGGATGGGACGAGGCACCGCTTTCATGGGCAGACCAATGTGGAGCGACTTCATGGAGGCCCCGAGGCTAGAGTTGAGCGTCGAAGAGACGGACGGTGTCTGAGCAGAGCTGAACCAATCCGGGGTCTCTCCCGACTTGGAGAACAAATCCTCAGTGTAGCTATCATCGTCGGCGATAGCACTGAGCTGGCGAATGGACTTTGGAGGGGTGGTGTGCAGCGCCTTGGCCCAAGGGAAAGCACCATGGTCGACCTGGGGGCTCTGGATGGAGGGTGTGCGGAGAGGCTCCCGGTTGGCACTGGCCATGACATGACGATCGGCGCAACAGAACTCGTCATCCTCCTCCTCAGTGGTGGTGAAGCTAACGACACGCTGAAGGGCAGCACGAGCACCAACAAGAGACCTCTTCTTGGGATCCAAGCTCATGCACTGAGCAATAACCTCGTAGGTGTCCAGTGACATGGAAGGGAAGACGTCAAACAGAGACTGCTTGTCCCTAGAGAAGTCCAGGAAGAGCGGGTCCGCCTCAGTCGGGGTGGTGAAGGGGTTTCGTGAGAAGAGAATGTTGAGGAGGCAGATGCCGATGGCCCAGATGTCGGCCTGAGCAGGGGAGTAGCCGGCTCCAGCCGAATCGTACTGCTCGGGGGACATGTAGCGGTCGCTGCCGACGGTGTTCTCCAAAGTCCAGTTCTCAGTCGTCGCAAGACCAAAGTCTCCCAGCTTCATGTCACCAGACTTGGTGAGAAAGATGTTCTCAGGTTTGATGTCTCGGTGGAAGATACCCTTGGAGTGGATGTAATCGACGGCATCAACAAGCTGGAGCATAAACCGACGAACATGCTCGGTCTCGAGGGGTCCATGGCCATTGCGGATGGCCTCATACAGGTCGCCCTGGGGACAGAACTCGAGAACGAGGTAGAGATGGGCCTCGGTCTCAAAGGTGTGAAGAAGGTTGACAATGTTGGGGTGCGATCCGAGGCGGCTGTGTAGAGCAAGCTCCTCAGACTTCTCATCGATGGCGAAGTCAAAGTCGAAGTCATCAGCGGCTTCCTTCTTAGTCAAGCACTTGATGGCGACGGTCTCGTTGGTTTTCATGTCCTTGGCCATGAAGACCATGCCAAAGGAGCCATGGTTGAGGGGAGAGATGGTCTTGTAACGACCATCGAGCAACACGCCATTCTGAAAGTTGTCTCTCAAGCATGCCATGTCGAAACTGGAAAAACGAGCTTGTAGAGCAGGTGGGTATCGAGCAGAGAAACGAGTTGACGACGGTGATGAAGCAGCCTTGAAGCAAGCTGTTTTTCTTTCCCGGTGTCGACGGTCAGTTGCTGGCAGGAAGGAGGATTCGCAAAGTTGTGATGATGCGTGTGGAAACTTGGTATAGCTTCGTTACGCGGTGTTGAGGTTCGGGGAAGGTGGCGACGGGGTTTGTTGCCGAGAATATACAGGTTTGGAAAGAACAAATCTAACAGGAAACAAGACAGTATCTAACTCCTATTCGTTCACGTATCAGAGGCTCATCGAGGGTATTTTTTTGCTGTTGTCGGACATATGAAAGCGAAGGTCTGTTGTTGGTTGGTTGCTTGGTCGTATTCGATTTTGGAACGTCGGGGTCCGTAGAAAAAAAAGACAAGAAGTATCGTTAAGAGGACATTGAAATAGAGCAAGGTTGATGAAGACTAGATAGAGAGTGGCGCCCGGAGGTCGAAGGAAGGATAGCGCAAGCTCAACGTGTATTCGTCAAGAAAAAGAAGCGAAGAAGACGATTCCTGACTTGAGGATTTGAGCGAGGATGCGAGTCGGCGGCGCCTACTGACAGTGGTTGATTGTCGGGGTGCTAACTCTGGATGGCACGAAGGCCGGATTGAGGCGGTGGTTGATGGCCGAAGGTGGTCGTCGTCCAAGTGTGATTGCAACGGCTTGCAAGCAAGTTGACTACCGGGATCGGCAAAAAGTAATGGCTACAGCAGCATTCGAGCGTTGACGGGCGTGTGCAAAAACGAGTTGGTTGACCAGCGTTGTTCAAGTCGAGGCAAGGGAGAAAGACGTAGCTCTTATTGGGATGAGAGCGGGAGTTGTCGTTGATTAGGAACACGGGGCCTTGTGGAGTGACCAAGGCGGTGGGGACAAGTGAGTCAACGGACACGGATGTTAGTCGGTATTCGATGACAGCAAATGCCGAGGCTCGTGGATTCGGTGTTGAGTCGAAGTCCAAGAGGCCTCTCCTCTCTTTTATCTCTGTCGAGGGATTGACGGTTCGAAGTGTAGTCAACTCTTCGGCGGAGGTGGTGGAATTGCGTGATTGCTTGCAGAATGACTCGTGAGTGGAAGCGTTGGATTGGCGGTGCGAGTATTGTGTGATAAGGACAAGGTCGGAGAGAAGAGGGAGGGGGGATGTATAGAAGATAGTAAGGGAAGAGAGGTGGAGGCGGGATTGAGAGGATGGTGGCTAGCAAGCAAGGAGAGTAAGAGAGGCCGTTGACGAGGATGAGGATCAGGTGCGGTAGAGTAGGGAAGGCAAAAGAAGAAAGGGTGAGGATTATGAAGGGGGAGTATTAGAGTAAAGTAGGTAAGTGCAGGCAGGATGTAGGCAGGAGGATGGCAGGAGGATGGCAGGTTGGATGAAGGAGAAGGGTGGGTAGGCTGATGCAGGGAAGGCAGGGTGACAGAAAGAGAGGTGTGAGTGCGGGAGTGTGAGAGAGGAAAAGGACGCGTGAGTGAGTGTGTGAGGTACAGATGGACAACGAAAGAAGAAGATGGAGATGAATGGACGAGGATGGGTTGGCTTGGACAAAGATGGGATGGAATGGGAAAGGGCAGTGAGCGAGCGAGCGGCCGGGAGAGGGACAGGCAGAGACAGAGGGAGAGAGCGAGATAGGCGGACCGGGATGGGAAGGCGAGAGCGCAAGTGCAGGTACGTACCCTGGAATTGCGTATTGCAACACATTCTCTCTCTCTCTCTCTCTCTCTCTCTCTTCATCTCGCTCTCACACGCAGTGAGATAAGTGTGAGAGGGTACCTGCCTCTCAAGTTGGGTGCTAGGTACCTTTACGGTGACACAGGGGATACGGGGGGATTCTGACGGTAGGAAAACGGCGGGGCTCCTCCAGCCAAGCGGGAAGCAGGAAGGGGGGACCGAGAGAGGCGGTGGGCAAAAGAAAGAGTACGTACCGCAATGGGGGGGGAGCATGGCGCGCTACGTGGAATGATGGGAAGGGGGAGTGGAACCACCGGGACGCACGCTTGACCAACTTGAAGTAGCAGCAGCATCCCCAAGCCTGCAGGATTGCTTGTCTCTCGTCCACCCAACCAATACAGTCCTCCCAGGCTTTAGAATGGTCTATATTCCTGCACGACGGGACCGAGCTTTCTTTTGGGCTGGGCTGGCAACAAACGCAATGCAACCCAACCCAGCCATGCCTACTATGTATATGTACAGTAAGAGAGACTGTATTGGCCTATCGTGGTTATGATAACAACAAACCGACCGGCACCTCAGCCCGGTAGAGAAGACGGACTGATTGAAAGGAAGAGTCAGCCCAGATGCCCCACTCATCGTCCATGTGTGGCATGTTTTCTCGACTATGTATGCGGCCCCTCCGTTTAGTGTAGTCCCGTTGAGCACCGTTCTGTCAAGTTGGAAACCTTCCAAGTACCCTTAATCGCGTACATGCTTGCTTCGTTAGCTCCAGTACGTACTTATGGGTACCTTCCCACCTAGCAGACTGCGAAGAGCATGGCCCAGAACACTTCGGACGGACGACTGAGAGTGGCGCACTGTGACAATGTGCCGTCAGCGGTGACATAACGGAATGCTTTGCCCAGTGTTGGCTGACGCACAGATGGCTGCCCCATGTACCTCTGCCCTGGTATTTCCTCGGAGAGATACTTCAGCCGTGGACGGGCGTTCAGTAAGGTGCGTGCCTTGGTAAACCTAGCGGGTGCCACCAGAGCTGGTTGGCAGCTAAGCTATGTACATAACCCACGGTAGATTATCGGCCCCGGCACGGCCTCTCTCTCGCGTAATATGTAGCTCCATGCGGCATGTCCATAGGACCAATTTAACCATCTCGTCCTCGGTCCCATAACTTGCTTGGAGCTGCCAGCGATCGAACAAGAGTCATACCTCGTCATTCACCCATACGTATCCATACTCTGTCGAGTTGTTCAAATGGCAAGCGATGGTATGAGGCGACACAGTGGCCGCTCCAGCAATTCGCAGACGGAGCCTCGATTGCTGCCGATAGTCGGCGAGGGGCGGATGACCGGGATAACGTAAACGGTATCGGAAACGGAGCTGTCACCCGTGTCTTCCACTGCCTCCAAGGGGGTGAAAAGCAAAACGACATCATTTTCTTGGGCGGTTGATGTTCCCGCTATCTTCACCATCAGCGACATTTTGAGAAACGTGTCAAAGCCATGTACCCTAGTTGCCATGTACGGAGTACAAGTGGATGGATCGGCGTGTGTGAGTAAACACGGGTCATAACCGGCAACTATGTCCATCAACATAAACATCAACAACACGGGGGAGCGCTGCAACAATAACAACCTGGGAAGAACGTTGGTCGCCCTGCTGAATGGCAGGAGGTGCCGACAAACCAATTAAACTCGTGCAGCATGGTAGCTATGACGAATGCCGATAGCGAAATACTCCAGGCCCGCTGGGCTCAGGGAGACAATGCCACGTAGTTTCAAAGATATTCAAGGTTCCTCGCAAACCCAAGGGGATTGACCGCGCAACTACCTACAGGAACGAGGTTCGGAAACTTGGTTTGAGAAACTACGCTTTCGAGACAGCGGGCGAACCCCTGCGGTGTGCATGAATGGGCGAATGGGGAGACATCAAGGTGGGGGGAACAGCTGCAAAGCTCGCTGGTGATTAAGAGTGAGTCTGAAGTCTTGGGTATAATTGTGAGTGGCTGCAAGGGGCCGTCTGGGGTTGAACACTCAACTGACCATCTGGGCATACTCTGCATCGAGTGCGAAACTGGTGCTGGGCATAGCGAGACATCAACGACACTATTATGCGTGGATGATTGAGGCTGCTAGTGCATGTCCTTCTCTCTGCCGGTTTCTATGAGTGATTGAGCATTACTCATGTTTGTCATTGTTATTGTGAAAATTGCTGCTGCCACTGTCGCTGACGGAAGTAAACCAAGGCAAAAGTGACTTGGAATCCGAAGGTTCATCATCACCGGGGAGAAGATGAGTCGCAGTGCCACCAAGTACGAGGAACGAGGCCAAGCATTGTTGACCCAAACAGACACGTACTCGTACCGTGTCCGTTCCCCCCCCCCCCCCCCCCCCAAGAATGCACCGTACATCGGACGGGGCGCTTAACGTCCCTCCTGCTGTGGGGTGCACTGCACTGCCGGTTACGTACCTGCCCACGGGCAACTATTCCTTGGGGTCCGTCCGACCCCACTCAGCTGCGTGGCTAGTTGCCACACCGCCCTATAGGTACGTCGACCTCAAGTACCTCCACGTCAGCAACGGTCATGGCTTGTACCTGGCGGCCGCGTACCGGGGATTCATGCAGGCTGCCATGCTGCCACCACGGGGCTGCCGCCCGTCGTCGTTATTGCTGTCGTCGCCAGTCAGTTCAGCATTCTGGCTGTTCGTCGAGACCCCCCGATTTGGTCGATTCGGCATACACCGGGCAGGCACAGGGCAGGGCGCGCGCAGCGGGAAGCGCGCGGCCATTGACGGAGACTGATCGACCGGCCCAGGCGGCCATGGGCCCAGAACTAACGTTCATAGTGCCGGTGCCCGTCACCAGAAATCCATTTGTTCGTGCTGTGAGAGTACAAGCTGTGTGAATTGGGACGGCATGGCTCAAGCTGCTGCCAAAGAGGATGATTACATGAACTGCCAGTAGTAAGAAACGGGGCACCGTGTGGGGGGGGAGAGAGGAAAAGGGGTCTTTCTCGATTCGTCGAGACCATCTGACTTGGTTGTGCCCGTCGAACCTTGATTTCGGAAAACACCGTGGGATAGAATAGCTACATGGTGCTATGGAATGCACGCCACGCCTATGGCATTCGTCGACACAACTGGCTCGGAGGTTACATAAGCGACCCTTGTCTACTGAACTACACTAACAGATCTGGGTGAATGAGGTGCCGGTTATGGTTTAGCTTCCAAAAAAAGAGTGGCAATGCCGATGGGTCCGTCCCTCCCAATATTGAGGTCGAGAATTTCCGTAAATCGCGACCTGGATCATGGCTGAAGAATATCGTCATTTGGTCATTCGGAAACCCGCTTCCCAGGGGTTCCTGGAAACTCAGGGGCCTGGGGACTCGCAGCTCAGGGACTCCAGAACAGGTTGAGGGCTCAAGTGGCCATTGACTATTGCTGGTCCTGAAATGGATTGCATTGCCCGAGCCGCGTGACCTTGAGCAAAAGCAGCAGCCGCACTGAGTGGCTTGCCAAAGGGGCCTGGTGTTAACTACCTGGGTATGTAGAATGGGACAGGACAGATGGCCAATTCTCATTGACAGTACGGAGTACCGACCCTAGCTGCAGCCCACATCGCGACACCCAGAATGCGGAAGTTCACTTGGACAACATGGAGGTGCAACCAGGAACCCGTTTTCCGTCGTCTTTTCCCCATCTGACATAACCGACTTGCACCTGTGCCTCTCCAGCAGGCCAATTAGCGCAGGGCAGTCCAGCGGCAGCCGTTTACCTCACGCAGTCTCTCGACTGAATTCCTCGAGTTTCTGTTTCACCTACTCACCCGCCCTCCGTCTCATTGGCCGCTGGTCGCACCTTCCTGCACTCCTTTCGACCTGCAGTCCCGTCTCCATCCTGGAGTGTCCCAACCGTGCCAAAAGGGAAAGAGCACTCACGGACAGCCACGAGTTCCCCCAGGTTTTTCCAGGAACTCAGGAGGACCCCAAGCGCCGCCGCCGCCGCCGCCGCCCTCGCTGCCGCCGCTATTAATGGACTTCCCAGAACCGGACGAAAAAATGGGGGCTTTTCCATGGGAACCCCTTCCCCAATTGGAGGGGGCCCTCCTCTCTGGATCCCCTCCTGTTTCCAACTGCCTATGACATCCAGGGTCCCATTCTCTCTATCCCTCGGAACGCCAAAGATAAGATGCTCCCCAATGCTGATAACGGGTGGCGGGACCACCTCCGGAACCAGCGTTATCTTGCATCGTCGTTGATGAGGTAGGTAGGTAGTGTTAGGTAGGTACCAGTATCCCGGCCTGCGTCCTAGGTTTCTTGGCTTCCCACCAAACCGTCTGCTGCTGCTGCTGTTCTGTCATGTACGGATACAGCATGTACGGAGTACAGACAGCAGTGTGCACGTACAGTG